GTTTGTGGACAACATTGAGTGATTACATTTAAGCCAAATACACTTCAGAGCCTCCTCAAAGAAATCCATAATCACTCCAAGTAGTTTGGCCTGTCCATCGACCCAGAAAAGACCAAGTAGATGAAGAATGTCTATTTCCTAAATTTCAACATGTTATTGAATGATCTCTTATAGAGCTTGTCCAATCTTATGTACATTTAGGACAGACATTATAGATAAACAATGAGCTGGATCTAAAGTTAAAGGAAGAAAGGAGCAAGGCAAAAATCACCCCATAGAGTTATAGATAGGAGAAGAGTTTATGATCAAACAAGGGATAGAGAGTATTGCAGAAGATAAAATGGGCAATTTTGGTCTTATAAAGTTAAAAAGATTTTTCCATAACTCAAATAAGTGGATTTAAAATTAGAGGGAAACAGGTTACTGGGGGGACAATCTTTGCAAAAAGTTTCTCTGATAAGGGTTTCATTTCTAAGATATATAAGAAATAGATCAAAATCTATAAGAACAAGATCCATTCCCGTATAGATAAGTGATGAAAGGATATGAATAGGCAATTTTCAGAGGAAGAAACCCAAGCCATTAATAACTATATGAAAAAAATGTTTCAAATCATTAATAATTACAGAAGTGCACATTAAAATAACTTTGAGGTTTTACCTCTCACTCATCGAGTTAGAAATGTTGACAAAAAGAAGAAAATGACAAATGTTGGAGGCACTAAGAAAAAACAGGCACCTTGATGAACTGTCAGTTGGATCAGAATGGTCCAGCTATTCTGGAATGTAATTTGTTTTTTGTTTTTTTTGGTGAGGCAATTGGGGTTAAGTGACTTGCCCAGAGTCACACAGCTAATTAAGTGTTATGTGTCTGAGGCCGGATTTGGACTGAGGTCGTCCTGAGGGCCAGTGCTCTATCCACTTCGCCACCTAGCTGCCCCTCTGGAATGTAATTTAAAACTGCCCAAAAGGTTAATAACCTGTGACCTTTGCCTTAGCAATAATGCTGCTAGGCCTATACCTTAATGAGATCAAAAAAGGAGGAAAAGGATTAAAAATATTTATAGCATCTTATGTGGTTATCTATTCATACAACATATATATACGTGTGCACAAAGAGAATGAGAGAGCATAAGAGAATGTATGCTTTCTTTTTTTTTAGGTTTATTATTTATTTATTTTTAACATCAATTTAAAAAAATATTTTGAGTCCCAAATTCTCGCCCTCCAGGCTTTCCCCTACCCACTGAGAAGACAAACAATATGATATCAATTATACATTGAAATTATTTAAAATATTTCCATACTAAGATGGAAATGCTGCAAAATGATGCCAAAAAAAGCAAAAAAAAAAAAGAAGAAAGGAAAGAAAAGAAGAAATTCTGCTTCACTCTGCACTTTGACTTCACCAGTTATCTCTCTGAATGTGGATAGCATTTTTCATCCAGAGTTCTTTGGAAATGGATCATTGTAGCTGTAGTAGATCAGATCAGAGTAGATGTAGTAGGTCATTGATCAGAGTAGCTGAATCTTTCACAGCTGATCATCATTACAATAATGTAGATCAGATGTAGATCGTTTATCAGAATAGCTAAGTCTTTCACAGCTGATCATCATTACAATACTGCTACTACTGTGTATAATTATTTCTTAGTTTTGCTCACTTCATTCTGCATCAGTTCATGTAAATCTTCCCAGGTTTTTCTGAAAGCATCAGTTCTTATAGCACAATAGTATTCCATCGCAATCATATACCATATCACAATTTGTTTAGCCCATTCCCCAATTGATAGGCATCCCCTCAATTTCCAATTCTTTGCCACCAAAAGAAGAATTGCTGTAAATATTTTTGTACCTATAGGTCATTTTCCTTTTTCTTTAATCTCTCTGGGATACAGATCTAGTGGTGGTATGTGTTGCTGTATCAAAGCGTATGCACAGTTTTATAGCTCTTTGGGCATAGTTCCAAATTGCTTTTCGGAAATTGGGTCAGTTCACAACTCCACTAACAGTGAATTGATGTCCCTCTTTTCCCACGTTCTCTCTAGCATTTTTCATTTTCCTTTTCTTTCATGCTAACCAATCTGAGAAGTATGAAGTGGTACCTCAGAATTATTTTAATTTCTATTTCTCTAATCAATAGTGGTTTAAAGCATTTTTCATATGACTATAGATAGCTTTGATTTCTTCTGAAAATTTATTGTTCATGTTCTTTGACTATTAATTGAGGAATGCTCTTATTTTTATAAATTTAACTCTCTATATGTTTGAAAAATGAGGCCTTTATCAGAGAAACTTACTGTACAATTCTGTTTCCTGCTTTGGCTGCATTGGTTTCGTTTGTGCCTTTAAGAATTTGGATGCTGTGCTATTTGGTACATATATGTTTAGTATTGCTATTACTTCATTGTCTATTATACCTTCTAGCAAAATTTAGTTTCCCTGATTATTTATTTTAATTAGTTGTATTATGGCTTTTGCTTTGTCTGAGATCATGACTGCTACCCTTTTTTTTTTTTTAACCACAATTGGAGCATAATAGATTTTGCTCCAGCCCCTTGTTTTAACTTTGTATATGTTTTTCAAGTGTGTGTCTTGTAAACAACTTATTATTGGATTCTAGTTTCTAATCTATTCTTCTATCCTCTTCTGTTTTATGGTTGATTTCATCCCATTCACATTCATGGTTATGATTATTAACTATATTTTCCTATTTTTTTCTATTTATCCATCTCTCTTTTTACCCTTTTCCTCCTCAAAAGTCTGTTTTGCTTCTGACTATTGCCTCCCCTAATCTACTTTCCGTTTTATCACCAACCTCCCTCCCTCCCACCCCACCCTGAACTTATCCCCTTCCCCACTTGTTTCCCTATTGGGTAATATAGATTTCTGTACCAGACTAAGTTTGTATGTATGTTCTTTCCTCTTTGAACCAATTCTGATGAGAGTGAGATTCAAGCATTACCTAGCATACCCCCCCATTCCCTTCACTATAAAAGCTCTTCCTTGTGTGCCTCTTTTATGTGAGACAATTTTCCCCATTTTCCTTTCCCTTCCTCCTTCTCCCAGTGCATCTCTCTTTCTTATTTCTTCTTTTTTTAAAGAGATCATGCCAATATAATTGACTCACACCTGTACCATCTGTCTATGTAGACTCCTTCTAATTGCTATAGTAATGATGAAGTTCTTAGGAATTACATCATCTTCTGATATAGAAATGTAAACAGTTTAACCTTATTAAGTCCTTCTTTCAGGTTTACCTTTTTATACTTTTCTTAAGTCTTGTGTTTGAATGGCAGATTTTCTATTCAGCTCTATTCTTTTTATTAGAAATGCTTGAAAAGTAGTCTATTTCATTAAATATCATTTTTCCCTGAAGGATTATATTCAGTTTTGCTAAGTAGATTATTCTTGCTTGTAATCCTAGCTTCTTTACCTTTTGGAATGTCATATTCCAAGCTCTCTGCTCCTTTAATGTGGAAGTTGTTAAATCTTGTATGATTCTGACTATGTTTCCATGGTATTTGAATAGTTTCTTTCTGGTTGCTTGCAGTATTTTCTCCTTGACCTTGAGCTTCTGGAATTTGACTATAATATTCCTAAGAGTTTTCATTTTGGGATCTCTTTCAGAAGGTGATTGGTGGATTCTTTCAATTTTTGTTTTACCCTCTGGTTCCAAGATATCAGGGCGGTTTTCCTTGATAACTTCTTTAAATATGATATCTAGTAGGCTTTTTTTTTATCATGGCTTTCAGATAGTCCAATAATACTTAAATTGTTTCTTTTTTAATCCATTTTCCAGGTCAGTTTTTATGATGAGATATTTTACATTTTCTCCTACTTTTTCTTTCTTTTGACTTTGTTTTATTTTTTCTTGATGTCCCATGGAGTCATTAGCTTCCACTTGCCCAATTCTAATTTTTAAGGAATTATTTTTTTTCAGTGAGCTTTTGTACCTCTTTTTCCATATGGCTGATTCTGCTTTTTAAGGAATTCCTCAGTGAAATTTTGTGCCTTTTTAACCATTTGGCCAATTCTGTTTTTTAAGGTGTTATTTCTTTAGTATGTTTTTGTGCCTATTTTACCGTAATCTCTTTTCATAATTTTCTTGTATCACTCATTTATTTTCCCAGATTTTCCTCTACCACTCTTACTGCTTTCTTTAACTCTTCCAGGAATTCTTGTTGGGCTTGTATCCAATACACATTTTTTCCTTTGAGGCATTGTTTGTAGCTGCTTTCATGTTGTTGTCTTCTTCTGGGTGTGTACTTGGTCTTTCCTGTCACTGCAGTGGCTGTTTGTAGTCACGTTCCTTTTTTGTTATAAGCCTGTTTCTTGACTTTGAACTTTATGTTGGGCTCTGCTTACCTGGAGGAGGAAGGGCATGACACTGTCCTAAGTTTCTGGCTTTTTCATGTTGCTGTTTTCAGAGCTAGTTAGGGAGGGCTGTAAGTTATGGAGGTCTGGTGCTTCCAGGATGGGGAGGGGTGTGATCACTGCTCTCCTGGTTTGTGCTCTAGTCATTACTCAGGAAGGGCCTCTGCTCCCCTGTACCTACAAGTGCTAGTGCTCCTCTCTGCCCTGAACATCTTTTAGCTGAGAGTTCCCAAAGCTACTATTGCTGCTGCTGTCACAGTCACCTCCAAGACCTCCCACTGTGCACTGTGGGCTAGCTCTCACCATGGTGTCAGACCTCTCCTTCCAACCTCCTAAGCTGTCTTGGGATGGAAAAGTGAATCACCCTGATCTTTTCTTCGCTATGCTGTGCCAGAATTCAATTTGACATGCCATTTTAAGATTGTTTGGAGGGGAATGTTAGGAGTTTGGCTGGGTTGCTGCCTCTATTTTGCCATCTTGGCTCCCCCATGTGCTAGCTTTCAAACAATATAATAATGCTAGTATTCTCTATGAAAATATCCATTAATACTTTTGGGAAACAAAAAGATAGTATCAACATTGACTATACCTTGTAATCAAAGGTTCTTTTTTGTGTATTTTTAGGCTCTCATAATGAATGGAGCAGACCTTTCCGTTCAGGATGATCGTGGATGCACTCCATCACACCTTGCTGCAACACATGGACATTCTTACACATTACAGGTTATGCTCAGAAGTGGAGTGGTAAGGAATTCATATTAATTTTGGAATATGTAATTGAGTAGTAATAATGATGATGATGATGATGATAGTTCACCTTCTCATATTGCAATGGAGTTTACTAAGTTCTTTCCTCAGAACATCCCTGTGAAGGGGGTACTGCAAGTAGGATTATTATATCCATTTTACAGATAAGGAAACAGAAGCTCAGAGAGGTTAAGAAACATTACTATAGTCACACAGTTGGTAGTTTGAAAAGCTATGATACAAATCCAGATTTTCTTACTCCTTTAGTAGTCTATGCCAGGCTGCCTCTTAGTAAACTGTATAGAATATCAGCCTAGAGTGTAATTTGAGAGTCTTATAATATCTTTCTAACTCTGTCATTGACTTGCTAGGGAACTTGTAGGTGTCAGTGAAAGGTGAACACAACGGTTCTGTTGTGTTCAGACAAGGCAAATAATTCTGGAGTGTTGGTGGGGACTGGAACCACCTCTGATGTGCTTAGAGCACTGGCCCAGGACCACAGGTAATAATCTGGGGTTCAGTGCTTGAGCACCCCGATAATCCAGATTTCTTGTGCAGAATCTTACAAAGAATTAAAGGACAGTGCTGGCTGTGAATCCTCCAACTCATGTGGTTCTAGAAAATTTAAGCTTGGGAGATTCTCCAGTGTCTGAAGAATGGAAAGATAATCCGAGAAAGAAGCTCAGTATAAAATCTGGTTGATTGTCAGAACATGAGTGGGATGTAGAAAGTGCCCAAGGAGCAATGCATCCACTCTGTCGTGGAGACTATTTAACTTTTAGACCTCAGGCACCATTGTCAATAACTGTTAGTTATTGTTATTCCAAAGTTCTGTGGTCTATATGCCTATAGTGCTGATAGCAGAAAATGTAGAAGATTAGGATGTGTATGGAGTGTTGGACTTCAAATAGGAGAATGAAGGTGGATCAGTATACCATACCATAAGTTCAGAATGCTTTAGACTGTCTGCCCGGCAGCTAGTCATTTCAGTGTCGTATCTGTGCAGCTGAGGAAAAGACAACTTTCACATATTCAGTGGTATTTTACCAGTCTCAGCACATTTCCCAGTTGATTTTTTTTAAAAAGGTGGTCAGTTGCACTAACTGTCTGTGTTAGTGTATCTTATTCTCATAGATGAAGAAGGTGATGGGAGAGCATGAGGAAAAACACTGAAGGTATTAGATATGAGATTAATGAGAAACCATTGCTCTAACACTGTCAGTGACAAGTACCAATTCTGTAGAATCTTTTCACAAAGTATATTATCAGGAAGTGAGTACTGACCCTGAGAAAATAAATGTGCTTCCTCATCACTTAATCATGTCTTTGGAAGTTATCAGGAAGTGAAAGTTTTTTCTAGGATTTGATGGCTGTGATCCGAAGTTTGAGAACTATGCTGTCATAGCAAATCCTCTCAATGACCTCTGTGTCCATAACTGTGGTTAAGAAGAACCAAAAGCAGAAAGGTAAGAAGGAGATGATCTGTACCTTCTGCTTAACTACTCTACAAATGTTGGCTTTTGTAAATTCAAACAGTCCTTTTGTGTTATACACTGATTCTAGCTGAGAGTGCTTAGGAACAGTTTTATTCCAGAAGGAGGATGGCCACCAAAAGTCACTGCATTTGTTAGTAGAGGACTTATTGACCATGAGCCTTGGCATTTTACCTACAGATTGGGATTGTTAGCTTTGAAGTAGGCTGTCACCAATAAGTTCCAAAACCTTAGCTATGGCACTTGGTTTCAAGTATGGACAGGAAACAACCAAAGACTTATATTCTGACAAGTGCCAAATTGGATGCTGCCTGCCAGCCATAGACAGTTGTGCTGGCTAGCATTACTGGAGAGGAAAGTGCAATGGGGATGTATATTCCCTGTCACTTAGCTGCAGTGCATTTGCAACTTTGATGGTTCCCATGGAGGGGTGAAAGTAAGACACATAAGGAACAAGAATACTTACATAAGATGGCACCCGCACCCCTAGATAGTGTGAAGTTGTAGCACTGAGCCTTGATTGTTCTTGATAGAGAATGTAAGTTGAGGATGAATGTCTATGAGTAGTGATAAAGGCCAAGAAAAAAGGTCGTGACCCTGGAAAGCTCAAGCTTATATCCTGAGAGACACTCTACTTTTGAAATAATAGCAAATGGTGGCATGCAGTAGGGTATCAGATTATTAATGATCCTCTTTGGGGTTAAAAGGCAGTTGATTCTAACAAAGGCCTGTAATAAAAGTGCTCCATTATGACTTTAGATACTTGGGTCAAGAGAAGACTCTGGAGCTGGTATGGAATAGGTTCTGTGGACTCAGGATAGCAGCAGTTATGTGTAAGAAGTGTGCAACTTATGCTTAATTTGTTTTAAGTAATGTGTCATCATCTGGGACTGCTAATCTGGAAAGCATAAGAAGTAGCACAACTTGGGAGTTAGTATATGTGGACTTCTTGTCTGTGGAAGAGGATAGAAAGGACATAAGCAATATCCTACCCTGAGGGATCTCACATTGTTAGCAACTGATTTATTTGGGAAGTATGAATTGTTTTGATTACTTATCTTTTTTTGGGGAGTGGGTGGCATGGCTATTATTGGAAGACTTCCTTGAAGTCTTTTAGCAAACTTTTTGAGGTCTAATTACTTTTCAGATGTCCATCTCTTGCCTTGAAATAGCATCCTACATTTTGCTGGGTAGAAAATTTTGGTTTATATAAGTTTTATTTCAGTTTCTCCAGTTGCCCTTTATATTTTGGGAGAAGACTGCTCTGATCTTGACTACTATTTCTACGTAGGTAATTTAGGTCTTTCTTCAAATAGGTCCAGGTATTTTTTTCTTATTGTTATTGTTGTGCCCCCTCTATGGCACAATTTTCACTTCCAGGTTGGCTCCCTGGGAGGGAAGGGAGTGCCTGCTTCCAGTCAAGTTGCTTTCTGGGTCTACTTGCCTAAAACTATGGCTCACAAGCCTCTAATATTGTGCTTACCTTTAGTAGTTAACCAATAGACACAGTTAGTTTAAAGCAAAGTCATTGACTAAGATAGTATAATAAGAACAGTAACTACCAAACACCATCCCGCCCCATATTAAGACATTAGCATATTCATCTCCATTATCTGCCCCTTACTTTTTCAGATTGCATCATCTGGGCTGAGGGGTAAAGCGTTTGGTACGGTGTCCTAACGAACTTCTCCCCTCCATCTTCAATCCCTTTCTCTCCCAGTTAAACAGTTGCTATTCTCAACAATCTGTGTTTTTTTGGGGCCTAGTTTTCCATTTTACTAGTTCTAGATAGCACCCTAGGGACTTGGGCAGGCTCTAAAGTCTCTCAACAGAATCCATGGGATCAGATCAGGTCACCAAGCAATGATTAAACACCTAATTTTTAAATAATCCAGAAATTAATAGTCTTCTGTGAGGGCCCAGGCCTATCATAGCTAGAAATCCTAGAGATTTATATTCACCTTCAAATATATTGTTGTATGAGTCAATAAATAAAAATAATTTTACAAAATTGTCATAGCTTGTTGCTTGTCTTGATGCTTGTTAAAGGCCTGCACCAGTCCAAACACAGTAAAAAGAAAATTGATTCTTCCCCCCTTCACAGGGAAGGCCTGGTTCCCACAGAGCTCCCAACAAGCATGGAAAGCCTGGGGTTGACTGGAAATTACCCCTTCACCTTTAGATGAGAAACCAAACTGTTCTGGGTGAAAATTATTTTGCATCCCTGTTGTTTTGAACCCCTGAAATTTCATCAGTGATTCTACACAACACACATGGCATTCCATGTGGAGGTCCAAACTCATCCTTCACTAGGACAAGTAGGTTTTAGCTTAAAAAGAAATTAAACAAACTCAAAAAAGTCCTAGGGAAGTATAGGGCTCCTGAAAAGCGTGTAAGTGCCTTCCCTCTGATATTATCTCCAATTTATCTTTTATATATTATCTTGCTTATACATAGTTGTTTGCATGTTGTCTTCCTCATTAGATTTTGTCCTCCTGGAGGCCAAGGACTGGGTGTGCCTTTCTTTGTATCCTCAGTGTTTAGCACAGTGTTTGGCCAATAGTAGGTGTTGAATAAATGTTTCTTGACTTGACTAAGCATTAAGGGCTGATTACTCAGGGTTTCTGGGCCAATAGGCAAAGTTTATCTTATAGGCGTGTAGTACATAAATATTTCAGACAAGCTATATGAACTCATGTAATAATAATAATAGCTAACATTTATATAACATCTACTATGTACTAGGTACTGTGCTAACTGCTTTGCAAATATTATCTCATTTGATACCCTATAACACCTCTGAGATGTAGGTTCTATTTATTATCCCCATTTTACAGATGGAGAAACTGAGATAAATATAATTCAAATGACTTGCCCAAGATCACACAACTAGTAAGTATCTGAGGCCGGATTTGAACTCAGGTCTTTCTGACTCCAGGTCCATTGATCTATGTGCTGTGCTATCTAGCTGCTCCCAAGTCACAATAAAACAAACAGCCTAATAAATCTGCCTGAAAATTTAAAGAAAAAAATGAACTTAGATGAGTACTCATGGTGTGCTTTAAGAGAATTGATAAATACTAGTATTCAAGCGATGCAATATCAATGACACGTCAGCTACCTTACTTGTAACAGGTACATTAATATAGAAGATATGAGTAGTTAAGTTTTCAGCTATGTAAAAGTTGTCTCAAAGCAAGTGGTTTCACTTAGAAACACACCTGAAAAATGTTTGTCTAATTGTAGTCTGAAAATAAAATGAAGTGAAAGAAACAATACTAATTTCCTCCCCAGTGGATCCATGCCATACTAGGACATCCAAGAAGTAGAGTCCTTGATGGAGAATCTCTCTAATGAGTCTAGGGCATCCCAAATATGTCCCTGACGAAGTCTGACCCACAGGGTAGTGCTCCCTCCAGGAGATATTCCCCAACTTGTACTTGGAGGTTGAGTCCTCCCAGTGGGTAGCTCCCTTAGATTCAGGGTAACCTGTGGGTCTGCTTTCCTGAAACTGTAACTCAAAATCCTTCATCAGTAGTACTTTTAATAGTCTGCCAGTAAATAATTAGTTTATTGGTATTTATTAAGTTGGTGTAATAACAATAATAGCTACAAAACATTTCCCTCATAAACCTGAAATTTCTGCACTAGTACAGTTATCTCATTTTATAGTTGAGAAAATGGAGACCCAGAGATACTCATAGATTTACTTTTCATCAGCCAGCTACTTTAATTCCTAATCAGGACAGTAATTAAGATGTCATAGTTACTAACTTTTTAGACAGCATTCGCTATTAGAACAGTACACGATGTGGAGACAGAAGACGTGTGCTTGGGTCTTGCTCATGTCGCTTAGTAGCTAGGCATCTTGGGCATATAACTTCACTGAGTCTTCATTTCTTCATCCATAGAACTCAAATAATACTACTTGCATTACATATCCTGTAAGATCATTGTGATAAAAGCACATTGTAAACAAACCTCAAATAGCTATATAAATGTGAAAGTAATGGAAAAATGGATGAATATTGGATAGAAGGAGATTGCAGCATATCTTCAGTGATGAACTATATGGGAGAAGTGGTAGAAAAGACATAGATGCTTTGAAAAGGTGGGCCATCCATGTAGTGAGAATGAGGGGTAATCATTATTGCATTAGTATCTACAAAATATCCAAAGAACAAAGGAAGATCTCTGTTCTTTGGAGAGATTTTCTATGGAGGATTTACAGCTTTTGATGAGTGGGATTGGATGGGTCATGGACAGAATACTCACCCTGATAACATCATGGGTCTATTAAAGAACTGAAGTATAATTAAAATTGTTTATAAGTGAATAATTGCTTTGCTTTTGTCCAGGTTCTGCTTTTATTGTCATATATGGTATTTGCTTTTTATTTTTAAAAAAATTTATTTTTTGGAGGCGGTTGGGGTTAAGTAACTAGCCCAGGCTCACACAACTAGTCAATGTCTGATGCCAGATTTGAACTCAGGTCCTCCTGGCTCCAGGTTTGGTACTGTATCCATTGTGCCCCCTAGCTGACCCTGCTTTTTATTTTTTAAAAGGCTACAAGCCATTCTAATTTGTAGAATTAAGGTGTTGGGGACATAAAGTGCCTCCTAAATTATGGGCATAAAAATTTAGTAAATGTGAATGTTGTCTTTAGGATCCCAATGTTTCTGATAAGCGTGACTGGAAGCCTGTGCATTATGCTTCTTTTCATGGGCGCCTAGGCTGTGTGCAACTTCTTGTTAAATGGGGAGCTGCTATAGAAGATGTGGATCAGAATGGAAACCTTCCAGGTACAACTTTAAAAAAGAAGCAAATCTTTGAGTTTTGGTTCTTTAGTAGTGTGAATATTTAATTTCTGACAGTATTTCTGGAGTTTGGACAACAATCATTTGACAACCCATGCAAAATTATGGAAATAAATGGTTTACATTAACATTCACTCAATGATATTTTCCAAACGTTTATTAACCAGTTACCAAATGAGATATGCAAAGATAATTAAGATGTAGTCTTTATCCCACGAAGCTTACAGATGTTGGGGGTGGACAGAAATGGATGGAAGGTATAGGGAAAATAAGACATAGGCACAAGTAAAATACAAGATGGATATGGGTATAAGATTTATAGGCAAGGTGCAAAAGAGAGTTTAGTAGGAGGCAAGACTTTTTGACTGGAGATAATCAGGAAAAACTTTGTTTAGGATGTTGCTTTTGTACCTCCTTTGAGGGAGGTATAAACAGAACCCTGCTAGGGACTGTGTGTGGGCAATTGCCTTTCAACAAAGGCTTGAGTAAGGATGTAGAGATAAAGAAAGTATAGGGTATGACTTTTAAAAATTATGAATTTAATAATATTTTTATTTATTGTTTTAAATTAAATTTTATTTCTTTCAATTAACCAAATTGACCTTCTTTCCCTCCTACCTACCTCACCCTCCAGTTGAAAAAGTTATTTTAATGTGGATACCTTCTGATGCAGCAATACTGCTACCAGGACTATATCCCAAAGAGATCAAAGAAAAAGGAAAAGGACCCATATATACAAAAATATTTATAGCAGCTCTTTTTGTTCATTTGTTTGTTTGTTTTTTTGGTGAGGCAGTTGGGTTTAAGTGACTTGCCTCGGGTCATGCAGCTAGTGTCAAATGTCTAAGGCCAGATTTGAACTCAGGTCCTCCTGACTACAATTTTTGGAACTTGGCCAAGGCAAAAATTTGTTTTGCTTGATTATACATATCTTTTCCAAGAGCTTTGTTTTTCTTTCTTTTGAAATTAGATAATCATTTTTCTGGTGTGTTTCTAAGTCAAACCACTTGCTGTGAGACAATTTTTACATGACTGAAAACTTACCTACTCATATCTTTTATGTTAATGTGCCTGTTACAAGTAAGGTAGCTGACCTGAGTGGCATAGACATTGCATCCCTTGAATACTAGTACTTATCAATTCCCCTGAAACACACCATGAGTACTCATCTAAGTTCATTTTTTCTTTAAATTTTCAGGCAGATTTATTAGACTGTTTGTTTTATTGTGACGTGGGAGCAGCTAGATAGCACAGGACATAGATCAATGGACCTGGAGTCAGAAAGACTTGAGTTCAAATCCGGCCTCAGATACTTACTAGCTGTGTGATCTTGGGCAAGTCATTTGAACTGTATTTATCTCAGTTTCTCCATCTGTAAAATGGGGATAATAATAGCACTTATATCTCAGAGTTGTTATAGGGTATTTAATGAGATAATATTTGTAAAGCAGTTAGCACAATACATAGTACACAGTAGATGCTATATAAATGTTAGCTATTATTATTATTACATGAGCTCATTACCTCTCTATCAAGAGCAGAGAACATAGTTCATCTTGAGTCCTTAGGAATCAATAGTTGGTCATTCATTGTGTTGATCAGAGTTCCTAAGACTCTAAAAGTTGTTTGTCTTTAAATCTTGTTTTTATTTTGTATTATTTTACTGGCTCTGCTCATTTCACCCTGCATCAGTTAATACAAGTCTTCTCAGGCTTTTTTGAAAGCATTTCACTTATTATTTTTTAAAATAATATTTTATTTTTTCCCAATTACATGTAAAGACAAAAAAATTTTGAGGTTCTAAATTTTTTTTCTTCCCTCTCACCTCCTTCCTCCCTAAGAGGGTAAGCAATTTGTCATAAGTTATGTATGTGCAATCATGTAAAACATATTTCCATATTAGTCATGTTGTAAAAGAAGAAATAGACTAAAAGTAAAAAAAAAACAAACCCCAAAAATAAAGTGAAAAATAGTGTGCTTCAATCTGCATTCAGACTCCATCAGTTCTTTCTCTGGAGGTAGATAGCATTTGTCATTACAAGTCTTTTGGAATTGTCTTGGATCATTATATTGCTGAGAAGAGCTACATCATTCACAGTTCTTCATCGAACAATATTGCTGTTACTGGTGTATAATGTTCTCCTGGTTCTGCTCACTTCACTTTTCATCAGTTCATGTAAATCCAGGTTTTTCTGAAATCAACCTGTTTGTAATTTCTCAAAGCATAATAGTACTCCATTACAATCATATACTATAACTTGTTCAGACATTCCCCAGTAGATAGGCATCCCCTTGATATCCAGTTGTTTGCCACCACATAAAGAGCTACCATAAATATTTTTTGCACAAATAGGTCTCTTTGGTATACAGATCTAGTAGTGGTATTGCTGGATCAAAGAGTATGCACAGTTGCATAGCCCTCCCTTTGGGCACAGTTCCTAATTACTCTCCAGAATGGTTGGATCTGTTCACAACTCCATCGACAATGCAGTAATGCCCCAATTTTCCCACGTCTCCTCCAACATTTGTAATTTCCTTTTCTGTCATATTAGCCAATCTGATAGGTATGAGGTGGCACCTCAGAGTTACTTTAATTTGCATTTCTCTAATCAATAGTGATTTAGAGGATTTTTTCATATGACTGTAGATAAATTGGATTTCCTCTTATGAAAACTGCCTCTTCATATTCTTTGACCATTTATCAATCCCCTCATTATTTCTTAAAGAACAATAGTATTCCATTACTTTGTATGCCACAACTTATTTAGCTGTTTTCCAATTGATGGGCATCCCCTCAGTTTCCACTTCTTTGCCACCACAAAAAAGAGCTGCTGGGAGCAGCTAGGTGGTGCAGTGGATAAAGCCCCAGCCCTGGACTTTTAAGAAATTAGTTTTAAACTTCATTTGTACTGGACTAGCTGCCATTCCCTGAATACAGCTGGTGATTTATTTTGTAAAACTTTTGCTGTCTTGATAATACTGTAATTTTTAATAACAGCTTATATTTATATAGCCTGCTATAGTTTACAAAATACTTTTACCTCATAACAACCCTGTGAAGTAGGTAGCATAAAAAGGAATAGTTCTACTTTACAGATGAGGAAAATAGGCTCTCTAATATAGGAAGGAAGGAAAGAATGAAGAAAAGGAGGAAGCCTTTATTAAGTGCCTATTGTATGCCAGGCAAATATTATCTCATTTGGTCCTCATAACAACCCTGGGCACGAGGGTGGGGTGGGGGGAGTGGGAATAGGTACTGTTATTATCTCTGAAGCAGACAGAAGTTAGTGACTTGCCCAAGGTCACATAGCTAGTAGTGTCTGAGGTCAGATTTAAACTCAGGTCTTTCTCACTTGAGGTGCAGTGTTTTATCCACTAAGCTACCTAGCTGCCTTTATGTAGCTATTATAGTATGAAATGAGATTCAAAAGATAGTTTGGAGTCAGATTAATTTGGGTAGAATTGTCATTTTTATTATATTAACTCGTATTTTTCCAGTATTTTTCGTATTTTTTTCTGACTTTGTTTGAAAAGTGTTTCGTAATTATGTTCATATAGTTCCTGAGTTTGGCTTAGCAGGTACACTCCCAAATATTTTATATTGTCTACAGTTATTTTAAATGGAATTTCTAGTTTGATAGAACTTACCCATCAGAGATTGTGCTTTATTCTCATAACTTTAGGGAACATTGGGCCACCTTTGTGCTACCACATGGTGCTGAAATAGGGTGTAAATGAGGGAGATAGAGTCATATTTTTGATTTTTAAAATCACTTGCCCACTGCATATTTCAAGTTTAGCCTAATTTTGCTCAGGTATGAAGAATCATAAAAACTCCATGGTTGTTGTAGCCTCATAAAAAGTTTCTACTCTCAGAACCAGAACAAAAAGGTAGCATTCTGACAACCTACTGAAGAACTAGTTTTTGCCATATAAGCTAACATGGGTGTGGAAAGCTGCAAGGAATTTGATTCAAATTTACTTATACACTTCTTATCTCCACCTATAGTATCACCTGGAGGGATCGAATTGAGAATCCCAGTAGGAATAATATATATTGCCTAAAGAAATACATAAATATTTAATTTAAATAACTACATGTATATATAAATGTATATATACACGCATACATATATGATATTGGAATTTTCCTAATCTGCTCTCTGTGAATGTGGAATGACATTGAAGAGGTATAGAGTTGCATACTCACTGTATCCAGTACAACATAGTCTGAACCCACAAATTAAAATAAGAATTGGTATTTACAGAATACCAAATATGACATTAAAAATTCATCAGCCCACATTATAAATGGAAAGGAAGTAGGTTTCTCTTCACTCCGGGTATTTAAAGGACGTAAAATATAAATAGATTACTGTTGTCCTATTGCTAGTTAGTTAACAAGCATTATGTGTCAGGTACTGAGCCAAGCCCTGGGTATACAGAGAAAGGCAAGCAAGGTCCCTGCCCTCAAGGAGCTCACATTCTTATGGAGGAGACTATGTACAACAAGTATGTGCAAACAAGATCTATATGGAGTAGAGGGAAGGTAATCTCAGAGGGAAGGCACTCGTAGGGTTGGGGAGAGAGGAGGAAAAGCCTTCTGCAGGTGAGATTTGAGCTGAGTCTTGAAGGCAGCCAGGGAAGGTAGGAGGTGGAGATGAAGAGGGAAAGCATTCAATGCATGGGGAACAGTCAGAGAAAAAGACAGAGAGCTGAGAGATGGAGTGTCAGAAGCAAGAAACAGCAAGAGCATCAGTGTATCTGAATCATAGAGTGTGTAGAAAGGAGTGAAAAATGGGAGGACTGGAAAAGTAGGAAGGAGCCAAGTTGTTATGAACCAAACAGAGGATTTTGTATTTGATTCTAGAGGTGATAGGGAGCCACTGGAGTTTATTAAATATGGAGGTGACAGGTCAGCATGTGCTTTAGGAAGATAACTTTGGCATCTGAGTAGAGGATGGATTGAAGTGGGGAGAGATTTGAGGCAGGAAAACCAACCAGCGGGCTGGCTATTGCAGTAGTGGAGGAATGAGGAGCTACTTAGTCAACCATATTATTGCCTGTTGTAAAATGACAGGGGATAGGAAGTGAGGTAGAAGGAAGTTCTATGCCCTCTGTTGCTCAGGATGGCAAAGTTATATATGATGGGAAGACTCAACTCCCATATTTATATAGTCCTTTGAAAGTGAAAACTGGTACCTTGTGACTTTTTTAAAGCAAAAACTTCAGCTTTGATGCTAACTTTGCCCCCTTTATTTGACAGTTCATGTTGCAGCCATGGAAGGTCACCTTTACTGTTTTAAGTTCCTACTCAGTAGAATGAGCAGTATGAAGCAGGCCTTAAAAGTCTTCAATGATAATGGAGAAAATACAATGGACCTAGCACAGAGATTCTTCAAAGATAACATTGTACAATTTATACAGGGGGCTGAATTTGAAGGAGATAATCAAAACAATCAGGAAAGTAAGTAATTAATAAATTTAGAACTTTCTAGCTTATTATACTAGGTTTGGTTGACTTAGATGGATCTTTGGATCTTTGATTTCTTCTGTGGGGATGTTTCCTTTATTAGCATAAGTTCTAAACCCTCTGTACATTTTCAGTCTGCACATTTCTTATCAATATTCTTCTCTAAATCCTCCGTAGAAGATCCAATATGCTGGAGATCTCCCTCTAAGTCATTCAGTCAATAAGCATTTTTAAGTGTTACTCTGTGCCTGGCACTGGGCTAAGCACTGGAGATTAAAAAAGAAGAGGCAAAAGACAGTTCCTGCTCTAAAGAAGCTCATAACCTCATGGGATAGACAACATGCAAACTTTTACGTACAATCAGTATACAGGATAAATGGTAAATAATCAATAGAGGGAAGTCAGTATAATTAAGAAGATTGAGGAAGGGTTTCTGTAGAAGGTAACATTTGAGCTGGGACTTGAAGAAAGCCAGGGAGCCCAAGAGGCTAGAGATGAGGAGGGAGAGCATTCTAGGCATGGGGAATGGCCAGAGAAAAAGCCTGGAGGAGAGATGGAGTGAGTGTCTTTTTTGAGGAACATCCAGGAGGCCAGTGACACTGAATAGAAGAGTAAGTGGGATGGAGGACAGGGTGTGGTGTAACAAGCCTGGAAAGGTATGGGGGGGAGGGTGGCTAGGTTATGAAGAACTTTGAATGCCAAACAGAGCATTTTATTTTTTGTCCTGAAGGTATTACAGAGACACTGAAGTTTTTTGAATGGGCTGGGGGTAACAATGTTGAACCTGTGCTTTAGGAAAATCACTGTGGTGGCTGAATGGAGGATGAATTGCAGTGGGGAGAGACTTGAGGCAGGCAGAGCCACCAGCAGGCTGTTGCAGTAATTGAAGTGTGAGGTAATGAGGACCTGCTAGACTAGAGCGGTGGCAGTGTCAGAGGAGAGAAGGAGGCATATATTGAGAAATATTGCAAAGGTGAAATCAGCAGGCCTTAGCAACAGGTTGGATATGGAGGCAGGGAAGATGAGAGAATGGAGTTGAAGATGGCACTTTGGTTTCAAGCCTGGGGAGCTCAGACAGTAGTGATGTCCTTGACAGTAATAGGGTAGTTTGCAGGGGAAGAGGGCTTGGAGGAAAAATAATGAATTCAGTTTTGGACATGTTGAGTTTAAGGTATTTATATGTTGGACATCGAGTTTAAAGTGACAAATAGGCAGTTGGAGAGAGATGAGAAGTCAACAGAGTTTATAAGTTTATAAGTAGTTAATAAATAGGTTTCATAAGTATAGACATGCCTTGGAGATATTGGGTTTGGTTCCAGACCACTGCAATAAAGTGAATATTGCAATAAAGTGAATCATACTAATTTTTTGGTTTCCCCGTGCATATAAAAGTTATGTTTACACTATACTGTATACACCATACACTGTAGTGGTATACACTAACCACTATACACTATATAAGTCTATTATCTGTGTAATTATTATGTCTAAAAAATGTACATACTTGAATTTAAAAAATACTTTATTTAAAAAAAAAATGCTTCATCTGAGCCTTCATCAAGTTGTAATCTTTTTTGCTGAGTGGAGGGTCTTGCCTCCATACTGATGGCTGCTAACTGATCAGGGTAATAGTTGCTGAAGGTTGGGGTGGCTGTGGCAATTTCTTAAAATAAGACAATAGAAGTTTATCACATCAATTGACTCTTCCTTTCACTTGAACATTTAGAGGCCATTGTAGGGTTATTAATTGGCTTGATTTCAATATTGTTGTATCTCAAGGAATAGGGAGTCCAGAGGAGAGGGAGAGAGACAGGGGAATGGCCTGTTGGTGGAGCAGTCAGAAGACACATAACATTTATTGATTAAGTTTGCCATCTTATATGGGCATGATTCATGGTGCCCCAAAACAATTAAGATAGTGACATCAAAGATCACTGATCACAGACACAGATCACCATAACAGATATAATAATAATAATGAAAAAGTTTGAAACATCGCAAGAATTACCAAAATGTGACATATAGACATAATGTGTCCACATGCTGTTGGAAAAATGGCACTGATAGCCTCAGTTGACACAGAGTTGCCATAAATCTTCAGTTTTTAAAAAATGCAGTATCTGTATTGGCAATAAAGTAAAGCACAATAAAACCAGGTATGCTTGTAGATCTGAGAATCATCAGCATTGGGATGCTAATTAAATCCAGGGAGCTGATGAGATCACCAAGTGAAGTAGTCTAGAGGAAGAAGAGACGAGTCCCAGAGCCCTGTGGGAAACCAATGGTTAGTGAGTCTTTTAATATCTCCTGGGTGCCAGTGTACCACTTGGCTTTCTATATATTTCTTCTCATTCTCACTATGTGAGTGAATGGCCTCCTTTTTTCAGGAATACTTGATATTGAAGATGTCTTCTCTTCCAATTTCTTATGTTTAAATAATCATTGGTAATGTGGTACAGCCTGCTTAAGACATACTCTGTCTATTTCCTTTGCCTTTTAGGTCACATGCAGTTTTATTTTTTCAAGATTCTGGTGTTCTATGATGCACATCCTTATAGAATCCAAAATATTTGTGTTAATAGTGGGCATTTTGGCAGCTTGGGGTCATTGAAAGTAATTTTCCAAATGTGATCCAATTTCTTTTTCAAATGCTCTTATAATGCAGTTTTTCTGAACTAGACAAATATCAACAAATGTGAACATTTCCATATGTAAAGAAGAACAGAAAAATAGGACTGTACATATAGCCAGAAATCTCAATACCTATATCTTCCCAAAACAAGTATATCATTATATATAGTTATTAGTTATTAGTTATAGTTATTACTATAGCACATTAGTTCCCTAGCTGTCTCACTTGCCTGTGTTGTCCAGTGAATCCTCAACAACTTTTCTGTGCCTTTTCTTTAAATGCTTTGTTGACACTTTTTTCTTCATTTTTGGCATTGCCATTACTAGATATACATTTAGGTAGTGTTGTGGGGAAGGGATAATCTGTTTTTTCCCCATTTCTCTCATTTCACATGATCTCAGTTCCCATGTTATCTTGAGTACATACGGCAGAAAGCGGTGCTGATAATATGAATTATCTGAATATGACAGAAATCTTGATTTTGAAGTCTTGGATGGATAATGGTTTGTGTATGGTAAATAATACTCTTACTTTAGGATTCTGCCTTTATTGCTTTTGAGAGGCATTATTTAGCTGGAGAACATTGAAACTTGAAGTCAGAAAACTTGTGTTTGGTCTCAATTTTTTCACTTACTACGACTTTGGATAAGTCACAACCTCTCTGAAACTCAGTTTCCTCACCTGTAAAATGGGATTAATGCTTACCATACCATATTACGTGTATGTATGTGTATGTGTGGACACACATGTAGCCCATAATAAGTTTTTATACATACGTATATAATATGTAGCCCATATATGTATACATATATAGAAAAACTTATTTGCCTTTCTGTGAACACTTTCAAATATATGTAGACTATATGTGTATGCATATATATGCATTGAAATGTTGAACATTTTCTTGACATCTTATGAATTTTTTCCTACAGATTTAACATTTCCAGGTCATGTAGCTGCTTATAAAGGAGACTTGGAGATGCTTAAGAAATTAGTGGAAAATGGAATAATCAATATTAATGAGCGTGATGATAATGAATCTACTCTTTTGCATAGAGGTTAGTAATCATGTTTCTCATTTCTTTTTTTTCTAATTATTTAATACTTTATTTCCCCCTAGTTACATGTAAAAACAATTTTCAGCATTCATTTTTAAAATTTTGAGTTCCAAATTCTCTACCTTCCTTTTTCCTCCCTCATTGAAATGGTAAGCAATTTGATATAGCTTATACGTGTGCAGTCATGCAAAACATATTTTCATATTAGTTAAATTGTGAAAGAAAACACAGACAAAAAAATAAAGTAAAAAAAAAGGTATTCTTTGATCTACATTCAGACTCCATCAGTTCTTTCTCTGGAGATAGATAGCATTTTTCAACATAAGTCCTTTGGCATTGTCTTGGATCATTGTATTACTGAGAATAGCTAAGTCATTCACAAGTTGATCATTGTACAGTATTACTGTTACTGTGTACAGCATTTCCCTGGTTCTGTTCATTACATTTTGCATCAGTTCATTTAAGTCTTTTCAGATTTTTCTGAGAGCACCCTGCTTACCATCTCTTATAACACAATAGTGTTCCCTCACAATCATATATTACAACTTGTTCAGCCATTCCCCAATTGATGGACATCTCTTCAATTTCTAATTCTTTGCCACCACAAAAAGAGTTACTATAAATATTTTTGTACATATAGGCCCTTTCCCCTGCCTTTTTAAAAATTTCTTTGGGATATAGACCTAGTAGTGGTATTGCTGAGTCAAAGGGTTTACGCAGTTTGATAGCCCTTTGGGCATAGTTCCAAATTACTCCCCAGAATAGTTAGATCAGTTCACAACTCCACCAACAATTCATTTATTTCCCAATTTCCCCATATTCCCTCTAATATTTTTCCTTTTCTGTCACATTAGCCAATCTGATAGGTGTAAAGTGGTACCTCAGAGTTGTTTTAATTTGCATTTCTCTAATCAATAATGATTTAGAACATTTTATCCTATTGTTATAGATAGCTTTGATTACTTTGTCTAAAAACTGCCTATTCATATCGTTTGACCATTTATCATTTGGGGAATGGCTCTTATTTTTATAGATTTGACTCAGTTCTCTCTGTATTTGAAAAATGAGACCTTTATCAGAGAAACTTACCATAAAGTTTTTTTCACAGGCATGATTACCAATTGTATTTTCCTCCATCTTATTTTTCCCACTGTTTATTCTACTCTTTCTCTCTCTCTCTCCTTCCACCCTCAAAAGCTTCTGACTACTGCCTCCCCCAATCTGCCCTGTCTTCTATCAGTGCTGTCCTCCTCCCCCCCCCAGCTTCTCCCTGTCCTTCTCATCCCCTTCCTCTCCTACTTTCCTGTAGGGTAAGATAGATTTCTATACTCAACTGAGTGTGCATGTTATTCCCTCTTTGAGTCACTCCACTCTCACCCCAGTACTGTAGACTTTTCCTGCTGACTTTCTAAGTTGTCTTGGACTGAAAAATTGTTTCACCTCATCCTTTTGTGGGTTCTGCTACTCCAGAAATTTGTTTTGAGGCATTATTTAAAGTTGTTTGGAGGGGAATTTGGGAGTGCTCAGGTGAGTCCCTGTCTTTTTCTGCCATCTTGGCTCTGCTCCTGTGGTTCTTATTTCATTTGCAATTGTAAAATTGTTGCTGACTTGGATATTCTTAAATAATTGCCTATTACAAAAATTTAACGAAACTGACAACTGATTTTTCTGAGACGTCTAGAAGACAATAAGAATACATTTTACAGATTACAAAAATGCTTAAATTTCAACTAAAGTACAATTCAGTTCAGTTTCTATTATGAAGAATACCACACTTGGAATTTGAAGGCCTTTTTTCAAATTCTGGCTCTGTTCTTACTTTTGAATCATATTAGCTATATTACCTTGGGCAAGTCCTGTGGCCTCTCTAAACCTCAGATTTCTCATCTGTAAAATGACGATAATAATACTTTCATTCTCTTCCTCACAGAGGATTGTGTAAAGGATTAAGTAGAATAAGGTTTTGGATTATATAATAAAGCTATAGTTTAGCTTACATATAATTTACAATGAGGTTTATATATGTAAATGTTTTTGATTTTTGTATTTATTGAGCACCAACTATGTTCAAAAAGCAATGCTAGGCATTAGAGGGAATGAAATAATGAGTAAGATACAATCTTTGCCCCTAAGGAATTCACATAATTGTGACAAAAAGCACTTTGAAAATCTTACAATGCTCTATAAATGTGAGCCATCACCAGAAAAGGAGGTGTAATGTTAGGTGCCCAGAGAAAAACTTCCAGTGTGTAGATTGTACCCCCATTAGTGACTGGTGAATGGACATGGACAAGAATTGCATGGAACTAGAAGGCATGAATGGATTATGATCTTTTGCATGAAAGGAGTAGATACTTTGGAAAATTGCTAATTCATTGAAGTGTTAAAGTATTTTTATTTATATATATCATCTCATTCTTGTCTTTTTCAGTGGGTTTTCAGATAGAAACAGTACAGGGATAAGTCACTATCCTGCTATATTCTTATATATAATGTTTTATGAGATGGGACTTCTGGGCCACATGACCAACAAGATACAGGACTAGACATTTTCTCTGATCCCCATGACCTCTCAGACCTCTTCAAAGTATAAATTATGTGCTAAAGATAAAACCAATTCAGAAGTCTGCATGGTCTGGGATATCCAGAATCCAAAAGAAGGGAAAAAAACAAAACAAAACCCTAAAACCCATGAACCAACCCTTATTGACCCTGCACTCTCTCAGCTCTCCTGTTCCCCCACCTTGGCCCGTGCTACCAGTAGTGAAGTTATACTAGCAGACCCAAGGATGCAACATAGACTTACAGTAAAACTCACCCATACTCCCCCTTCTCCCTTCCCTCTTTCCAGTGCCATGGAAATCTTGGCTTTGTGATGTTAAAGTTTGCTTGGACCTTGACAGTAAGTTTAGCCACTGCCCTTTAGGAGCAAAAACCTTCCAAGGGCTACAACTGCTGCAGAACTTCCAGTGCTGGGCAAAACAGCCCTGCAGAGCTCTGAACGTCTCGAGCCGGGCCAGAGAACTGAGGAACAGAGGGATAGGAACAAGTCACACTGTGTGTGTGTGCGCGTGCGTGCTCACTCCTGAAGCACTCAACCAAGTCTGAAGGAAAGACGACAGGAGCCAGTTTGAGCAGTGACCTAGGCTAGTGAATAGTGAATTGCTCTGTGTGAGAGGAGATCCATCCTCCAAGGAAACCACAATTATAGAAGAGGAAATAGGAAGTGAGTGATATGGGAAATAAAGGGGGGAAAAGACAGAAATTACCAAGATTTCAGAAAGAAGAAAACTTGAAGACCTTAAGCATAAACAGATAAAGCATCAGGAAAAACAGTAACAACAGAAGGAAATATGACCTCTAGAGCTAGTAAATGAGTTCAGGAATCTATGAATAAATACTGAAAAACAAAGGAAAATGATCTAAAACTTGATGAGACAGAAGACCCTGTGGAATTTGAGAACATGGAACTATAATATGCTTTTCCTGAGTGGTTCAAAAGAGAAATGAGAATTATGAGAGCAGAATTTATGACTTGCACAGCAAAAATAGTAGGCAGAATAGAAAATTTTAATGTGCAATAGCAAGCTTCACCAAAGAAGCAAAAGAGAGAACAATAGATTGGGAATGCAAATAACCAGAAGTGAAGGACAACTAGAAGAAGAGAAGCAAAAACAAACAAACAAACAAAAACCCATTAACAGAAAATCTGCTCACTATGCCAGCAAAATGTGCTATGCTCTTTCAAAATTTGTTTTTATTTATTTTTAGTTTTCAACATTCACTTTTATAAGATTTTGAGTTCCAAATTTTCCCCCTCCCTCCCCTCCCCCCTTCCCAAGACAGCATGCAATCTGATATAGGCTATATATGTACAATCATATTAAACATATTTCCACATTAGTCATGTTGTGAAAGAAGAATCAAAGCAAAAGAGAAAAACCATTTTTAGAAAGAAAAAAAGAGAAAATAGTATATTTCGATCTGTGTTCAGACTCATAGTTCTTTCTCTGGATGTGTTTTCCATCATGAGTCTTTTGGAATTGTCTTAGATCTTTGTATTGCTGAGAAGAGCTAAGTCTGTCAAAGGTGATCCTCATGCAATGTTGCTGTTGCCTTGTACAATGTTCTCTTGGTTCTGCTCACTTCACTGAACATCAGTTCATGTAAGTTTTCCGGTTTGTCTGAAATCTGCCTGCTCATCATTTCTTATAGAACAATAGTGTTTTGTTACATTCACGTACAACTTGTTCATCCATTCCCTAATTGATGGGTACCCCCTCAATTTCCAATTCTTTGCCACTGCAAAAAGCTGCTATAAATATTTTTGTACATATTTTGTACAAATATTTTTGTATTTTCCCTTTTTTATGATCTCTTTTGAATACAGACCTAGTACTGTTGTTGCTGGATCAAAAGGTATGCACAGTTTTATAGCCCTTTGGGTATAGTTCCAAATTGCCCTCACCAATGGTTGGATCAGTTCACAATTCCACCAACAATGCATTAGTGTTCCTATTTTCCCACATCTTCTCCAACATTTATCACTTTCCTTTTTTGTCATATTAGCCAGTCTGATAGGTGTGATGTGGTACCTCAGAGTAAAACATACTAATCTTGAAGACAAAAAGGGTAGATACAAGCGAAGGATCATAGGCCTACCAAAAGAACACAATTGGACATAAAGCCTTAACATCACAATGATGGAAATAATAGAAGAGAACTGCCCAGAACTTCTGAACATAAAAAATGAAATTATAATTGAAAAAATTGACAGATCACCTCCAGGAAAAAACCCTAAGCCACAAACACCAAGACATATAGTGGTTAAATTTAACAATTCATTTCAGAAAGACCTAACTCTGCAAGCCATTAGGAGAAAGACCATCAAATACAAAGGATAGGGCATTCTAATAGTATAAGGCTATTCTTCACCCACTAGAAAAGGAGAAGGGGATGGAATAATATGTTCTGAAGATCATTGAAGCCTAAGATGCAGCCCAAGGTGACCTTTTTTGGAAAATTTGAGCTTAACTATTCAGGACAAAAGATGGATGTTCAATAATAAAGAAGAGTTGGAAACATTTTTAAAAAGAAAAGCACTGATGAGATTATTTGTTGCAGTAGAAGTGAATAAATGCAGTAGTCAGGGACAGTAGTAGCAACAGAATGACAACAAAGAGAGGAGTAAGAGATTTCTTTCTAAATGTACACAAGGATATATGGGTGAAGGCAGAAATCTGGTAGAGGTAACAGTGAAGAGATGGCTAGGAGGCATTATGAACAGAACCTGGTGACATCTTCCCTGCTGGTGAATGCTTCTTTTGTGGGACTATATTACCACATTGAAAAGTATATGAAAGGAGCGAGGGGAGCAGGGAGGTGAGCCAGAGTCAAATCAAGGGCTAGCAGTGAGGGGAAGGTAGCCTCTGTTGTCTCAGAAAGAGCACACCAACAGGAGAGTTGGTGAGGAGGATAGAGGAAAAATTGAAAAGGTAGGGGGAAGGAAGGAAGCCTTACTTTGGAGGTGGGAGAGGGTTCTACCGATGAATGTAGTATGGGTGAAGGACAATGAAGACCTTACATAGGAGGAGGACCAGGGGATTTGGTGCTTGCAAAGTCTACTTGTCCTACATTGGGAGGGGAAGAGTTAGAACCCCTAGGGACAATAGGCACATGGAGAGTGGGAGAACATGGACACAAGGAGGAGATTTCTAGGCAAATATAGAAGAAAAGGTCAACATAGACAAAAAAAAAAAAAAGAAAAACAAGAAAAATAAAATAAAAAAATAGTATGCTTTGATTTGCATTCAAACTACATCAGTTCTTTCTTTGGAGGTGGATAGCATTTCCCTTCACAAGTCCTTCAGAATTGTCTTGGATCTTTGTATTGCTGATAATAGCTGTCATTCACGGTTGATCATTGTACAGTATTTCTGTTACTGTGTACAGTGTTTTATGGTTCTGTTGCAGATGTCTTATGACAAACAGTGTCAGGCATTGGGATTATCCTTCTGCTAGTGGTCACTTTTTCTAAGGTGCTTTGGAGTATCTTTGGTGATATCTGCCCTTGCCATCAGTGAACTCCCAGCAAAGGACACAGGACCACTGAATACTGAAGGTGGCCACCAAGTCTGGACATGTCCATCTTGGGGTCAATACTCAGCCACCTGAGATCAGGAAAGAGCAGCTAAAACCTCAGAATTAGGCAGGACGTTGGCTACCTGCCATGTTCTTGTGGCCACATAATGGTATAAGTGGGGAATAGTGTGAGCTACCCTTCTCATTCTCTATGGAAAGTCCTAGAGCTTCAAGATGCCACCTGGAAGGTTGAAGGAAGAGAGTGCCAGGGGTGGAGTCACTCCTTTTTTTATTTTTTTAAAGACCCACTGAGTCATTGGCTCTTCTGGCTCAGCAACTAATAAGAGTATTGTCAGGGGTGGAGAACCTGGGGCCTCAAGGCCACATGTGGCCCTTGATGTTCTCAAGTATGGCCTTTTAACTGAATCCCAAATTCACAGAACAGATCCCTTTAATAGGGAAGGATTTGTTCTGTAAAACTTGGAATCAGTCAAAAGGCTGCACCCAAGGACGTAGAAGGCCAGACGTGGCCTCAAGGTCGCAGGTTACCTACCCCTGGTATTGTCTTCTCATTTCAAAGTGCCAACCCCACCTCAGCACTGAGTCATATAGCATTTGATCAGCCACAAGTGGGAAGGGAAGCTCTGTGTATGCTTTATTTAACCTCTGTTTAGATTGGTTATTTACAGTATGGTACAAACAAAAAACTCAGAAAAGCTTTATTTTGCTTATTAATGTTGTTAACATAAGAATTATTTCCGTAATATACACACATACACACACACACACACACACATCTCCTCTCTTTTTTCCCTTGAAATCCTCTCTTTGAACAAAAGCCAAAAACACTTATAATATAGTAACCAGGTTGGTTTTGTGTTATGTATTTATCAGCCATAGTCATCTGATCTTTGGGTTCATGATTGATTATCGTATTTATCCAGAGTTCATTTGTATTTTTGTGTTGTTTTTATATATATTATTGTAATAATTGCTTATAATTTTCTTCTAATTCTGCTGATTTTGCTATCAGTTTGTAAAAACTTCCCATATTTATCTGTGTTCTTCATATTTTCATGTTTTTTATGGCATGATATCATTCTATTACATTCTTATGCTACCATTTATTTAACCTTTCCCAACTGAAGGACATTCACTTTGTTTCTGTTTTTTTGCTGTAGCAAAAAAAAAAAGGTGCTACATAGCTAAAGCTTACAGGTAGTTGGCTTTGGAGTTCAGGTTGTGAGCTAACAGTGGAGGAAGAATCCTAGGTCTGGACCTCTCTGCTACTCTCCTTTTAATTGTCACAGGATAATCGTTAAGTCCATGAATGGTTCTCTTTTCTTCTGTCATAGGTCCTACTTTTTGTTTTTTGTTTTTTTTTAAAAGGAAGTTGGGGTTAAGTGACTTGCCCAGGGTCGCATAGCTAGTAAGTGTCAGGTCCTGCTTTTTGAATGTCTGTGTCTGGAGACTTACGTTTCTCCATTACTTTCTGGATGTGGTGTTTCCTATTGGTTGAGTAACTGTGCTTTAAACTGACATGGTCTATGGGGATGGTGGGAGGAAAACAGATCCCTTTTCCCTGCCTGTTGCCTGTAGTATATGTGCAGAAGTCTCCTCCAAAACTACCTGAAACTGACAAACTCTCTACCTTGGTGGGGGAGAGGGTCTCCTGTGTAAGTGTGCCCCATTGTGAGATTCCATGGCTGATGAGAGGGAAGGGGAAGAGAAATCCCTTCCTTTCCTTTTTTGTTGTTGTTCAGTCTCATTTCAGTTGTTTCTGACTCTTTGTGATCTCATTTGGGGTTTTCTTGGCAAAGATACTGGAGTAGTTTGCCAATTTCCTTCTCTAGCTCATTTTAGAGGTGAGCAAACTGAGGCAGAGTTAAGTGGCTTGCCCAGGGTCACACACCTAGTAAGGCCAGATTTGAATTTATGAAGAGGAGTCTTCCTGACTCCAGGCCCAGCACTCTATCCACTGCAGCACCTAGCTGCCCCTCCTCTACTTACCTAGAGCAATGGATTCTTTCTCAGAGCCCAGGTTCTTCTAACTATTGGCTCCTAACCTGCCCTCCCAACCCAATTTGTACTCCCCTGAAAACAGACTGTCTCTAGTGGTTAGCTTTGTATAGCCATGCAGGGATGTGGCAAAATTATTTTTTGCATCCAGTGGCCTTGCTCCATTCCAACTGAATCGGAAGCATTCATGCTTTGCAAAGGGAACACTTGGGGTGTTAACACATTAACATAACATCTATGTTATGATATCCACTGGATAGAGGGGTATCAACTGATCAAAGACTAGATTCCCAGACAAAAGAGAGTAAGTCATTTCAGGTGGCAAAAATAGTATGAGTTAAGTTGCAGAGGTGAAACTAAAATTATGTGAAAAAATGAGGAGGCCATCCTGGCTGGTATGGATGGGTCATTTTGAGGATATAAGGTTGAATAGATAACATGGAACATGCTTTTCCAGAACTTTGAATGCCATGTTCAGTACTTCAAAAACCCCATGATTTTATGGTTGTGGAAGCTACCTCCATTAGTGAAGATTGCAAACCTTCCATGCCTTAGTAGGCATACTTCAATATATTTTGTGTCCAAAACTAATACTGTATGTCATCACCTGGTGGCCAACTTTGCGGTTATCAGCCTTTTCACATTTTTCACACTCTGCTGGATTTTGGAGGACAGACTCACAATCAGGGGCCAGGCATATACCTGAAGCCTTTTCAGTGTAGCAGGATCTGCCAGGGTTTGTATAGCTGGCAAAGCCTTTAAGATCTCAGGGTCATCTTCACAGCACAATGAGGCTTTAGAGGAGGTTCTCACATTTTAGGAGAAAAGAAAGCATAACTGCTTGTTTGTTTGATTCAGTAATCAATAACTGCCTCTCTTTATGTTTTCTGTTTTACTTTAGCTGCTGGTCAAGGTCACATAGAATGTCTGCAGTGGCTGATTGAAATGGGAGCTGATGTTAACATTACCAACAAAGATGGGGAGACTGCAGCTGACACAGCTAAGAAGTAGTCAAGACCACCCATTTTATATAGATTTTTAAAAAATTTTATATTTGTTCTTCTCTGTACTCTTCAAAGCTAACAGATAACTTGTACTAAGAAGAATGAGAGACTATCAAATGAAATAATATATCTAAAGCTCTTTGCCAACCTTACAGCACAATCTTCTCCTCTCCCCCTTCCTCTTCCTCCTCCTCCTCCTCCTTCCCAACTCAGTTATTTTCTAATGTGAAACGGTGTTGGTATCAAAAAGTCATATACACTTATATTTGAAGTATATTTTAATACTTGGATTTGCATATAAGTACATTTGAAGTTTAGAGAATTAATGACACTTAACCAATGAAGTTATACTTTGAATTGTCATATACTAGAGATATCTGGAAAGCTACCTAGATTTCTTTTCTTGCTTCCCTGCTTAACTTTTTACTACTTCATGTTGGAATTGGATAGCATTACCTCTCTGGCAAAAACATTGTACTAGTTTACACAAACTAGTACACCTAATTCCCACCTAATTCCCCCTCCTCCCCTTTCTGTCTAATATCTTCCCTCAGGGAAGGAGAAGTAACTTAATGCTTTGTTATGGAAGGCCTTTCCTTCCATTTTTTATGGAGCTGAAGAAATGATGATAATAAAGGATTTAGAATACAAATTACATAATGGGATCTAAAATTTAAAGGTAAGATTTGCCCTTGTGAACCCCAGGCCCCATGAACCCCATGAACCTCAATTTATTTATCATAAGAGACAAAACAAAATTGGGGTACATGTGTCCATGGTTTAATTTCTCTCAAGCTGGCTTGACATGCATTGCATGGGAGTTCAGCCCAAAACTGGCTCAAAAGGGATTTTGGGGTACAGCATTATATATCCTTTCAACTGGGGCTTATATCAAACCACCATCATTCCAGACCACTCCCAGCCTCTGTCTGTCTGGGCAGTAGTATCTGTCTCCACCCAAGCCTGAGTAGCATAAAATCAATTCTGGTTTGGGTTGAGTTTGACCGGGATAAGAAGATACAATGCAGTCTCGTTATCAGTGATGTCCTTCAGAAGAACTTTGAAGCAGAAGCTTGGCAGGGTGGAGCTCTGAGTCTCCAAGACAAAGATTACCAAGAGAAACCATTTTTAACACCCTCCACAAGTTGCAGTTGTACATAATAAGCCTCCAGGGGATAGGTTAATAGTGACTGCTAGAGCAGTTGGTCTCTTGTCCTACTTCAAAAGCTTTAGATCAAAAAGGGTAAGATGATTAGCACTGGAGTATATTCTTACTCCTTTGCACCTGTACATATATTTTTCTCTTTTTTTCAAAAGAGTTTTCAAAAATAATTGGGAAACTTGGCATCTATTATCTTTGGCCAAGGGGAATTAAATTGAGCTGGTAATCTGGAGGTAGAATATTAAAACATTTAACCTTGGAAGCACCTCCCTTTTCTTATGATTTCTTTTCTGAAGTCAGCCATACCACATTCCCTTTTCAAGGTTAAGGTCAGGGCATAATAGTCATAAAAGTCAAAATCGTAGAGACAGAGAGCAGATGGTGGGTACTCCTAACTACAAATAACAGTCTGCTGTTTAATCTTCATTTCCTTTACAATACAAATAGTTAAATTCTGTACATTTGACCTAAGAGCAAAATTCTCTAAATGCAACTGAGTGAAAAATGAAATAACCACACAACCCAAAAAGTCTTTTAAAACTTAAGTCCCAAAAGTTTATAATACAAAATAGAGGAAATTGAACTGTTAGGAAGAAGTTGAAAAGAAGATCTAAAGTGCACTGGGACAGTGGGGAGTGACTTTTTTGGAGGGTCCTTAGTTAGTTAGGATGTTTACCTGAGGCTGGAGACTGCTTAACTGGTGACTCAGTAATCTTCATTGCTTCTAAGAGTTTGCTTTCCTACGACTTTATCATCGACAGCCTTCCTCTGGTGAGGACTCAACTTGCACGTGTCATTGATCTTTATAGCCACTGGCACAGAAGCTATTGGTTAGTCTCATCAGTGGCTTATTTTGGCTAGTCTGACAAAAACAGGTCCCTGTAATGATGCTAATTTTTATAATTGTCTTAATTTAGTTAAACAACTGAAACTAAGCAACATTATAGTGACTGATTTTCATTTATTAGTTACCCACACATGGGAACTATACCTCCCCTCTCACCACCACCCCCATTATAGAGATATTACAAATAAAGAGCCACATCCTAAATTACTTTTTCCCTATATTCATCCTTCCATTCATTCAATAAACTACATATATAACCAACAGCTAAATATGTAAGAAACTATGTTCCTAAGTCTCTTCTAGCCTAAACATGTTTAGACTCAGCTAATATTCATATGACATGTTTTCAAATCTATTTATTATTATGGTCTCCCTCCTGTGGTAGCACTCCAGCTTGTCTGTGTTAGTCATTAAATGTAGCCCCTACAACTAAATAGAATATTCTAGGATAAAATGTTGGCAAGATGGGATAGGGTTAAGAGGAAGGATAGGGAAATAACAGAATGGAGGAAGGCTGACCTTTCAACCTATTTGACCTTAGGTTAGTCAGTCCAGCTCTTTGGGTCTTAATGTCTTCATATGTAAAATAAAGAGGTTGAACTAGATGACTTAGTTCATTATCTTACAGCCTGGAAGGTCCCTTCTAACTCTTGTAGGGTAAGACGGATTTCCACACCCAATTGAGTATGTATGTTATTCCTTCCTTAAGTCAAATCCTATGATAATAAGATTCACTCATTCCCTCTCACCTTCCCCCGTTCTCCCTCCACTGTAAAAGCCTTTTCTTTTCTGTTTTTTTTTTTTTGTGGGATAATTTACCCTGTTCTACCTCTCCCTTTCTCCTTCTCCTAGTATATTCCTCTCTCACCCCTTAATTTTATTCTCCAGATATGACCCCTTCATTTTCAACTCACCCTGTTCCCTCTATCTATCTATCTATATCTATATATACACATATATATAATTTTTTCCCCTCCAACTACCCTAATACTGACAAAGGTCTCGTGAGTTACAAATATCATCTTTCCATGCAGGAATGTAAACAGTTCAATCTTAATAAGTCTCTTATGATTTCTCTTTCCTGTTTACCTCTTCATTTTCCACTTGAGTCTTGTATTTGAAAATCAGATTTTCTATTCAACTCTGTTCTTTTCATCAAGAATGTTTGCAAGTCCTCTATTTCACTGAATGACCATTTTTTCCCCTGCAGGATTATACTCTGTTTTGCTGGGTAGGTGATTCTTGGTTGTAATCCAATCTCCTTTGCTCTCTGGAATATTATATTCCATGCTCTACAGTCCCTTAATGTAGAAGCAGCTAAATCTTGTGTTATCCTGATTGTGTTTCCACAATACTTGAATTGTTTCTTTCTGGCTGCTTGTAATATTTTCTCCTTGACCTGGGCACTCTGGAATTTGGCTACAATATTCCTAGGAGTTTTCCTTTGGGGATCTCTTTCAGGAGGAGATCGGTGGATTCTTTTAATTTCTATTTTGCCCTCTGGTTCTAAAATATCAGGACAGTTTTCCTTGATAATTTCTTGAAAGATGATGTCTAGGCTCTTTTTTTGATCATGGCTTTCAGATAGTCCAATAATTTTTAAATTCTCTCTCCTGGATCTATTTTCCAGGTCAGTTGTTTTTTCAATGAGATATTTCACATTGTTTTCTAATTTTTTATTCTTTTGGATTTGTTTTACAGTGTCTTGATTTCTCATAAAGTCACTAGCTTCCAATTGCTCTATTCTAATTTTTAAGGAATTATTTTCTTCAGTAATCTTTTGGACTTCCTTTTCCATTTGGCCATTTTTGCTTTTTAGGGCATTCTTCTCCTCATTGGCTTTTTGGACCTCTTTTGTTTTTTGGGTTAGGCTATTTTTTAAGGTGTTATTTTCTTCAGTATTTTTTTGGGTATCGTTTAGCAAGCTGTTGACTTGTTTTTCATGATTTTCTTGCATCAGTCTCAGTTTTTCCTCTACTTCTCTTACTTGCTTCTCAAAATCCTTTTTGAGCTCTTCCAAGGCCTGGGATTGATTCATATTTTTCTTAGATGCTTTGGATGTAGGAGCTTTGGCTTTGTTGTCTTCTTCTGGTTATATGTTTTGATCTTCTTTGTCACCAAAGTAAGATAATATAGTCTGACTCTTTTTGCGCTGCTTACTCACGATCCTGGCCAATTACTTGAGTTTTAAACTCTTTGTTAAGGTAGAAGGCTGCTTCCAATGTGAAGAGAGTACTGTCCCAAGCTTCGGGGGTTTGTACAGCTGTTTTCAGAGGTACTTCTAGGGACCTGTAAATTTTCAGTTCTTCCAAGGTGGTATGATAAGGGGCGAGGTGTTTTCTCTCCACAACCACAACAAGCTCCACTGCACCAGCATTCCTCCTCGTCCCAGGACCGCCCCTCAGAACTGTGACCCAGATCCAAGCACTGGTAAAGCAAGAGATTCCTGCCTCAGCACTGGCAAAGAGATCCCTGCAATCCCCCTCTGATCAGCCACTTGATTCCTCCTCAGTCTGTGGGCTGGAAGCTCAGGAAAAAGCCACAGCCCCAGGCTCGGAACTTGTGGCTGAGACCTAGCTCCTCTCTCACAGCAGTCACAGACTTTTCCCACTGACGTTCTAAGTTGTCTTTGGTGTTCAGGGGTTGAGAAGTCTGGAAACCACCACAGCTGCCTGCGATTCAGTCCTCTGAGACCTGCTCCAGGGTCGCTGCAGCCTGTGCACCCACACTGCATTGCGCTCCTCTCCTCCCCGGGTGCGATATGCCTTTCCGATCAACCATCCAGGCTGTCTTTGGCTGGAAATTTGTTTCACTCTGTCTTTTTGAGGGTTCTGCTGCTTTAGAATTTGTTTAGAGACTTTTTTTAGGTATTTGGGGGGCTTTCTCTAATTCTTAAGTACTATAATCCTGTCGTATTAAGTACATGGAAGTATATTATTCTACTTCCTGTAAGTTTTAAAGTTATGCAAAGTGTTTTGAACTGAATGGGGAAAGAAAATTTGAGGTTTGAAGGAGAGGTCAGTTATAAAAGTGGGGCCAGAGCTACTTGAAGTATTTGAGTTTGGATCAAACCCAAATGTCAGACATGGGTCTGATATCTGGGAAGGCAAAAGGTAGGGAGTAGACAGAATTAATCACTGTCATCCTGGTTTTCTGCTGTGTTGTTCAATTCCTTTTTTCTTTTTCCTACATGCTGAGTGAAGGCATTCTAGAAGTTGATACTTCATATATTTGGGGGGGAGGCAAACTAATATAAACCCTTATTTATATCTTGTGGTTAGATCATTGTGTCTATAAAGCTGTGCAAACAGTGTTTGATCTTAAGTACCCTGTAAGTGTTTATATTTTCTGTTAGCTGATCCACCTCAAATTGTCATTGATTCTTACACTTTATCTTTGTTATTCACTTTTGGTTGGTTTACTGGTGGGCAGAAAGCCTTAAATTTTGTTTAGTTAATTGTATAGTGCAGTTATCAGAGCATGTGAGCAGTTCTTGCGATGATAAGGAAGATCTTGAATCCCATCTGCTTGTGCTTTTTTTTTTTGTGTGTCTCCAGGTTTGCCCATTTGTCAGCAGTGTCCCTTTTAGCAGGGCTGCAAAAATATGAAGTTGAAGAAAATGATGAAATTGATGACCAAGATGTGAAGTTTTTTGAAAGACACGGTGTTGAAGGAAGCACAGATGCAAAGGATGAGTTACGTCAGAGTGAAGCTGAAAAAACAAATGCACGAAGTGAGCCCGCTTTCTTTATCTCCATGTATCTCTTATCATCATCGATGATTATTATGATTAGCCTTGAAGAAGTACCATAACCTAGGGCATTCTTCTCTCTTATGTAAGTGCTTTCTGCAGAGATTTGGATATGATTCTAAGGAAAATCACAGTTCAATCAAATGGAAAAGTCTTTTGCACCAGTTGGGTGTTTGGTGCTCTGGGAATAATACAAAGGTGAATAAAGCAGAGGTACCATCATCTAAGAAGCTTGGAAATACATGAACCTTCATTCATCCTTCCATTCATTCAACAAACTACATATGAGAGGGACTCTGCTCTCAAGTCTTTTCTCCTAAAAGACCAGAAAGTCTAAATTAATGGCTCCAGATTTAACAACGATGGAAGAGTTGTTACAGAGCAGTGTATGATTAATTGCCAAATGAATTGTTATAAAAGTTGAGAGGAGGGAAAAACTTGAGGCTGCATGGCTCAAATCAGGCTTTACAGAGGCAGTGGATTTTAGCTAGACTCAGAAGACTTGCAGGATTTGGATAGATGGGGGAAAGAGTACATTTCACAAGATATGTCATTCATTTATTTTCCCAAATATTTGAGAGCCTGCTGTGTCACACACTTAGGATCATGTCACACAGGTTTAGAGCTGAAAGGAACTTTAGAGGACACCTGGTCCAATCCCCTCATTTTATGGATGAGGAAACTAAGGCATGGGGAGGGGAAGTGATTTGCCTAGAGTCATACAGGTTCTAAGTGACAAGGTCAGGATTCAAACCCAGATTCTCTAATTCCAAATCCAGAGCTTATTTTGAGAGTTCTGTGGGAGCACATTAGGAATAAAACTGTCTAAATTGTAAGTACCTCTTTCTACATACCTGTTTATGTTCCATTGTAAAGTAGTATTTGAAATTATAAAAATTATACTTTATTCTTAATTTATAAACTTTTTTTTACATTATTAAAGTAGTTTTAGTCTTCTGCTTTTTGATTCCCATAGTAACAAACTTAATGATCCCTCTTAGATCTATATAATAAAAATTTCCCGAAATCATTCTACGTGTTTGTATTTTTAATTTTGGTTTTCATTCATTTCATGACTTTTCCTATGTTTTTTTTGTTTTTTTTTTTGGTGAGGCAGTCAGGGTTAAGTGACTTGCCCAGGGTCACATAGCTAGTAAGTGTCAAGTGTCTGAGACCAGATTTGAACTCAGGTCCTGCTGGCTTCAAGGTCTGAGCTCTATCTACTGAGCCATCTAGCTGCCCCCACTTTTCCTATGTTTTAAAAAAGCATATCAGAGATTTTAACTTTTTGTAACAAACTAAAAAAAACAATTTTAAGTTTGAAAATGCAAGTATTCAAAATTAGCATTTGTAATACTAATAATATTTGTATTCAGAAATATTTATACTAAAAATGAGCAGGATATTTAGAGAAACTTGCCATATTAGGTAATGTTGCTGCAAATCTGTTGCTATAAAACATCAAGGGAACCTTCTTTCTCAGTACTATCATCAGACCAATTTTTATAATTTCCATGAAATATTTTCTTCTTGTTCAACTGGCAAATTTTAATTCTCTAGGCAAACACTTGTCAAATGGTCCTTGTCCTCAAGTGATATAGTGGTGGTAGTAGAGGATAATGGGGCTGATAAGAAAGGGAACTAGGTAAATTCACTGGGCTCCAGCAAAAGAATTCTTCAGGAGAAAGATGGCAGCATCCAAATCCCAGTTAGCTAAAGTAAACAGGTCAAGCCAGAGTTCTTAAGGTGGCAAATCCAAGGACGAGGCTGGAGGTGGGCAAATTGTTCATAGTAATTAGTGAGAACTGGGGAAGTCCCATAGAGTCACAGGGAACATTAATAGGAAAGGGATTGATAGGTACTGATGAGATGATACTTTATTTCACACAGTTTATCTGCTTAAGGCAGCAGATAAATTATGGTGGTGATGTGTTAGCCATGGTCCATCTTTAGTCTTAGTATATTATGTAATAATAATACTGATAGCCCACATTTATTACAATACTCTAAGGTTTTCAGAGTACTTTGACCACAGCAACCACATAATGTAAGGATAGGGTTTTTTTTGCTTGTTTATTTGTTTTTTGTTTTATTGGTCTAGCATCCTAAGGAAGAGCATGTAGACCTTACCTAATCAAGATTACAACACCACATTTGTTTTGCAGAAAGAGCTTATGAAAAGGTTGTAGAATTGCGACGACTTCTAGAAATTGCTGAAAGTAACTATAAACAGCTGGGAGGGATATCGGAAGGAGACATAAAACAGAGGAAAGAAGATCAAGAGTCTAGAAGGTAATGTCCCCAGGGATTAATCATTTTAAAAAGTTTTTGGATACCTTTCCGAATACTAGCTGAGGACTTGTTGACTAGCAATTTTCCCCTGGACCTACTAAAATGTCATTAGATTTAATCCTTTCTGGTTCCTCACACTTCTGATGAAGGATAAAATCTGCTATTTTTCAAGAACTAAATTTAACTTTAAGCTGTAATATAGCAGGGCCTTACTACAGTTTGGATGACAAGAATGTAAAGAACCCTTGCATAGTGATGATGGGGTGATTACCTGATAACCAGAGATCTACTCCAGTCTCCCTGGGCTGTTTGTTTCTCTTCCCCATCTCCTATCCCTCCAAGGGTGTAGATGTTGACCATAAAGGATGATGCCAATAGTGGTTTATCTTTGACCTTTCATTTCACCACCATGGTTCTCATTTCTCATTGTTCTTCCCTTATCTGGTTCTTTGTCCTGTGGCTCACTGCCTACCCTTCCTCCCCCATTAATTTATTATGTAAGGTAGTTTCATGCATTGTTCAGGTAGGTGACCTTTTATATCCTGGCAGTTCTAATACCATGATTTTGATTTTTGCTGCTAGAGCATGGGAGGAATGAACTTGTAAGGGTAGCGAGTCTTTCCTCCCACTACCTTTGTTCTAGGAAGAGTGGAGGTAGGAGGAAGGGGTTACAAAGTCCACTGGTTAGCAGCTTCCCAACTCCTGTGGGAGAACATGGTCTCTTTTAATACAGACTTTGGCAAACCAAGCTGAGTTGTTTTGAGGTTTCCTCCTCCCCACCCTACTTTGCTCTTTCTAAATCTTTTCACACCTTAGTGTTACTGGTCTCTCTCCTAGTCTTCTAAAAGCCTCCTAGTTCTTTCTGTTGTCAAATAGGCTTTCAAAAAGGGGGCTGACACACTCATATGAAACTTAAATTACTAATAAGGATTAACCGCGTTCATTCACCAAGAAGTATTTGCATTTTAAAACAAGACAAGGTCTAATGACAAAGATCTGAACTTCACTAATTGTGAAGATTTCAGATCCTTGGAGGCTAGTAGAAGAAATGTTTGGGGGTGGGAGGTAGGGCTACAGGACCTTCCAGATTACTTTGAAGTCATTTCCTGAAGGAGCTTTCTGCCTCCATATAAACTCTGACCACAAAAGTGGGTTTTAGAGAAGCCTCTTTCTATTTGTAAAGTGCACATTATAGCCATTGGTAATGTTTCCAATATGATCCTGATATCAAACAGGAAGCTTTGCAAAGTATTTCACATAGGAGCATACTTTCTTTCTGTCATTCTTTCTTTTTTTTTTTTTAAGGCAGTTGGGGTTAAGTGACTTGCCCAGGGTCACACAGCTAGTAAGTGACAAGTATTTGGTCTGAGGTCGGATTTGAACTTTGGTCGTCCTGACTTCAGGGCCGGTGCTCTATCCATTGTGCCACCTAGCTGCCCCTGGGAGCAGTACTTTCCTAGGTGATGTAGATTTCAGTTTCCCTTGATGTTTTTTGAAAAGCATAAGTCAGCCCTTTATTTTTAGATTCATTAAGTTTTTGATAGACCTTAATGGAATATTAATAGCCTGCATTTATATAGCACTTGAAAGTTCACAATGTGCTTTCTTCAAAGCAATGCTTTGTGGTATATGGTGCAAGTATTATCTCCATTTTCTATAGGATCATACTCAGGTTCATGCACAGGTGAAGTTACCCCGTGGTGCAACTAAGATTTTGGATCTCTGACTCAAAGACCAGTGTTGTAAGCAATAGCGATGTTGTTACAAATGATTATATGTGCGTGCGTGCGTGTGTGTGTGTGTGTGTATAATTTTTCCTCCAATTACATGTTAAAATAATTTTTTAACATTTTTTTTAAGTTTTGAGTTCCAAATTCTATCGTTTTCCTCCCCCTCCCTGAAATGGTAAGATATAAGTTATACATGTGCAATCATGTAAAACATTTTAATATTAGTCATTTTGTACAAGAAGAAAAAGAATGAAAGAAAGAAAGTGAAAAATAGCATGCTTCAGTCTGTATTCAAACAATATCAGTTCTTCTTGTGTAGTTTGCTTCATCATTAGTCCTTTGGGATTGTCTTGGATCGTTGTGTTGCTGAGAATAGCTAAGTTATTTACAGTTCTTCATTGGATGATATTGCTGTTACTATGTACAATGTTCTCCTGATTCTATTCACTTCACTTTGCATCAGTTCATGTAAGTCCAGCTTTTTCTGAAATCATCCTGCTTGTCATTTCTTACAGCACAATAATATTTCGTTACAATTATATACCACAGCTTGTTTAGCCATTCCTCAAGTGATGAGCATCCCTTTGATTTCCAATTCTTAGCCACAACAAAAAGACTTGCTATAAATGTTTTATTACAAATAGGTCCTTCCCTGTGCCTCCTCTCCTTTTTTTATGTCTTTGGGATATAGATCTAGCAGTGACATTGCTGGGTCAAAGGGTCTGTACAGTTTTATAACCTTTGGGCATAGTTAAAATTGCTCTCCAGGATGGTTGGATCTGTTCACAACTACACCAGTAGTGCATGTGTCCCAGTTTTCCCACATCCCCTCCAACATCCATCATTTCCCTTTTTTGTCATATTAGCCAATCTGATAGGTGTGAGGTGGTACCTCAGAGTTGTTTTAATTTGCATTTCTCTAGTCAGTAGTGATTTAGAGCATGATGCAAATAATTTTCAAAGGGATTTTTTTTTATCCATGCAGAGTGTCAATCATTTTTAAGGGTGCTTTGTTTTATGTCAATAATGGGCCCTTGAAAAACTTTGGTTTCTCTCTTGAATTTATTCTGTTCACATTTTTTCCTTATAGTAATGACAACACTCAATTTCTGATTCTGATTCTAATATTTCAGCAAGTATTAAGTGTCTACTATGTAGGCACTGGTGATACAAACACAAAAATGAAACTGTCCCTGCCTTCAAGCAGCTTACATTTTCTGGAGTGGGGGGCCAGGGATGCAACATGTACATAGACAGTAGGTGGCAGTTTGAAGAGGAAGACAACACTAAAATCTGGAGGGATTAAGAAAGACTTTGACGGGGAGGTGATACCTAAGATCAACCTTAAAGGGATCCAGATACCCTTAAAGGTTTCTAGGTAAGAAGAAAGTGAATTTTAGATGTAGGTTACAACCTACCCAAAGGAACAGAAGTGGGAGAGAGAATATGGAGTTAGGAGAAGGCCTGATTTGTTTGGAATGTGGAGAATGTGAACAGAAGCAGAGTGTGATAATTCTGGAAAGGCAGAGGACTTTTTTTTTTTTTTTGGACTGGGCAGTGGGGTTAAGTGATTTGCCCAAGGTCACATAAGAAAGGCAGAGGACTTTAAAAGCTAGGTGGAGGAGTTTGTATTTTATCTTGGGAGAAATAGGGGAGAGAGTGAAGATTTTTGAGTAAGGGAGTGAAACAAATGAGTGCATGGATGAATGAATGAATAAGGCATTTTATTAGGCTCTTACTATGTGCAAAGCACTGGAGTTACAAACAGAAAAGTAAGACAGTCTCTTTTCTCAAGGAGTTCACATTCTAATGGGGGAGAGAACACATCTGGAGGGTTTCATATGCGAGGCAGGTGGAAAAGCCTAGTACGGTGACAAAAGCAGATGTTAATGCTTATTCTTTAATGTCATTTCAGTTGTTAAAAATATCAGTTTCTGATACTGAATCATTTGACAGTGCTGAGGAATTTGGTAGCAAGAACTTTCTTTTCTGTGTCTTCAGGAACAGCACCTGAGGTACCTGCAGGAGCAGGGGCCAGGCTGCGTTTCCCAGGGGGCTACTTCCCAGGATAATGGCTGAAGGCACTGGGCTGGAAGCACTGCTAATTCCCAAGGCTTCAGGGATTCAGGGTCATGGACTGTCTCCACTCGGGACTGAGGGGATGTGGTGGTCAAGGTGGTGGTGGTTTGGCTTGCTTGGAACATGCTGTCTCCTGTCTCTTCCTCAGCGTATCCTGCTGCTTCAGTGAGGCTGGCCTGCCTGCCGTACTTGCCCGTATGGCCAAACTTGCGCCTGAGATAGATTGTTTTGACAGCAAAGTGGACTAGAGAGTGGGAGAACTAGAGGGAAGGGGATCAATTAGTAGGGCTAGAGAGATAGTCTAGATAAGAGGTGATGAATACCTGAATGATGGTGGTGGCTGTGTGATTAAAAAGAGTTGGATGTAAGATGGCATGGAGGTAAAAATGATAAGCCTTGGTAACTAGTTGGATATGTAGGGAGTAGGGAGGATGGATATAGTCGTTCATGGATGAATCAAAGGGTACAAACCTGTGTGACCAGAAGGGTGTGAGGCCCTCAATGGAAATAAAGGAACTTTGGAGGAGAGATCCATTTAAAGAAGAAGGTAATAGGTTCTGGTTTTGACATGTTGAATTTGAATGCCCGTGGAACACTCATGTGGAGATGTCTAGAATAAGGAATAAAGAGGACTCTTGAAACAGCCTTGTATAAATACCAGGGCTTAGCAGCTGGGATATGGATAATCAGCAATGGAGACTAAGAAGGATTTCATTAGTTTAATGAACATATGCAGACCCACTCTGAAACTTAGGTTCTTAGAAACTTCCTTGAGGTACTCTGAGCAATAAGGCACAACTGTAGTTAGTTGATCCAGGAAATTTCATGGTCAGATTTATGCTATAGATGGGATGAAAAAAAGTACGAGTAATATTTTGTGAGAGGCATTAATAGATGTGGAAATCAGAATGGGCCTCATGTAGGAAGTGTTTTTTGAGAAGGAATGAAACAAACATTTATTAATCATCTACTGGCACATATGCCAGGCATTGTGCTAAATGCTTTTCAAATATTATCTTATTTTATCTTCACAATAACCTATCTATCTCCACTGGTATAACCTACCTCATTTTACAGTTTGAGGAAACTGAGCTAGAGATGAAGTGACTTGCTTAGGGTTATGTGGCTAACCAGTTAAGTGTCTGAGGCAGGATAGAGCTAGTGCTCTATCCGTTGTGCCACCCTTGCTGCCTGAGTTATATGAGCTGAGCTTTGAAGGAGGCTGAGGTGAGGTGGGAGTGCATCCCAGGCAGGAGGAAGAAAATTCAAAGAGATGGGAGATGGAAGGTCTTGTGGAGGGGACTTGACTGAACAATTCGTGGAAGGGAATAATGTGCAGGAATGGTTAACAGTGACCAAGCATTTATTAAGCTCTTACCATGTGCCAGGCACTGTTCTGAGTGCTGAGAATACAAAGAAAGGAAAACACACAGCCCTTGTCCTCAAGGAGCAAGCACACATTCTGATGGAGGAGACAGCATGCAAGAAAATATATTTACAAATTATATACAGTGTAAATGGGAGGTAATCTCAGAGGGAAAGCACTGGGGGGAAGGGGTGGGAGAGGAGAAGGCAGACAGACTTGAAACGGCCTCTTGTAGAAGGTGAGTGTTGAAGGGAGCCAGGAGAAGGCTGTAGATAGGTCAGAAGAGAACCGGGAGGGGAGCAGTGACATAGACGCCAAGGAGGAAGGTGGATGACAGTGTCAAGAGCTATAGAGAATTCAAGCAGAACAAAGACTGAGAAAAAGCCAGTGAATTTATTAGTGGAAGGTGGATGACAGTGTCAAGAGCTATAGAGAATTCAAGCAGAACAAAGACTGAGAAAAAGCCAGTGAATTTATTAGTGAGCTGATCACCTTGGAGAGAATAGTTTCAGTCACATATCAAAACTGGCAAATCTGAGGTTCTTTTTTCCTGTTCTTGACCTTTTCTCCTTCAGACCTTTTCTCCCTTGCTTGACGCTGTTGACCATCTCCTCCTGTACTGTGTCCTCTCCAGGTTTTCATGATACGGTTCTCTCTTGGTTCTCTTCCTTTCTGTCTAACTGCACCTTCTCTGTCTGCTTTGCTGAGTCTTCATCCATGTCCAGATCCCTGACTAGAGGTCTTCCCCAAAACTTGGTCTTGGACTCTCGTGGTGACTTCACAGATCTCATGAGTTTAATTATCATCTCTATGCAGATGTTTTGCATAACTATATGTTCTTCCTAAACCCTCTTTTGAACTCCAGACTCACATCACCTTTTAGAGATTTCAAACTTGATGCCCCATAGACACCACAAACTCAGTATGTTCCAAACAGAACTCAATATTTTGCCCACCAAACCGTCTCCTCTTCCCAAGTTCCCTCCTATTGTTGGGGGTATCATGATTCTCCTGGTCACCCGGGTTTGAAATCTCTGTGCATTCCTTGACTTCTCCCTTTCATCCTACATAGTCAGTCTGTTGCTAAATCTTGTCGGATCTTCCTTCACAACCCTCTTGAATGTGTCTCCTCTCCTCTTCACTCACACAACCACCTTTCTATAGTTCAGGCATTCATCACCTCTCACCCAGATTATGGCAGTGACTTCCTATTCACTCTCCCTAACACAAGCTCTCCCAGCAGCAATCAGTCTATCATCTACCCAGCTGTCAAAGTGATTTTCCTTAAGTGCCTCTCTGACTACGTCACTCCCCTACTCAATAAACTGGTGATTCCCTGTTGTCCCTGGGACAGAATCTCTGCTTGGTTTTTAAAGCCCTTAACAACCTGGTCCCAACCCATCTTTTCAACTTCATTACATATTATTCCCTTTTCCACACACTACAGCTCAGCCAAACTGGGCTGCTTTCTGTTCTTCATTCATGACATTGTATCACTTTGTGGAATGAGGCAGCTGGGTGGCACAGTGGACTGAGCTCTGGGCCTGGAGTCAGGAAGACCTGAGTTCAAATCCTGCCTCAGAAACTTACTAGCTGTATGACTGTGGGCAAGTCACTTCACCTCCGTTTGCCTGTTTCCTCATCTATAAAATAGGGATAATAATAGCACTTTATCTCTCAGGGTGGTTGTGAAGATTGAATGAGATAATGTTTGTAAAAGTGCTTAATACAGTGCTTGGCACATAGTAGGCACTTAACAAATGCTTGCTGCCTTCCTCTTTCCTTCTTCCTCATAGAATCCATCTTTTTTTTTTTCGAGATTCAGCTTAAGCACTGCCTTCAACATGAAACCTCTCCTGATCCCCCCATTTATTAGTGCCTTTCCTCCTTAACTACCTTCTGTCTATTCTTTCTCTGTCTCTGTCCTCTTTCTTACTCCCTTCTCTCTTCATATATACATATATGTGCATATTATGTATATATATATACACACACACACATATATACACACACTGTCTGTACCTTTATATTTATATGTAGAATATAAGATCCTTGAGAAATAAGGATTATAGCTTTTTTTTTTTATTGTATCCCTAGCACCTAGAACAGTACCTTGGACATAGCAAGTCCTTAATAAGTGCTTGTTGATAGATGGATTGTTTGATCAAAGTAGTGATCGAGAACATAGATTAAAAGGGGGACAGAGTTTGTGAGTGGGGCAGTGGCAACCCAGGACAAGGAGAATTACACCTTGTTCCAGCAACAGTAGAGTATGGGATTGACGTCCCTTTGTGGGTTGGGGTGAGGTAGAGCGAGAAAAAAAAGTCTTGACAGTTACCAGAGCAAACTTTTTTTCTCAGCCAAATATGGTGAAGCTGTAAATGTGCATTGTTAGGCCCAGAGATATGGCATTCTGACAAAAGAACAGTAACACTTTCCCATTGTACCCCCTGAGTGATAGCTAACACACTCAACAATAAAGACAGGATCCAAAAAGGGTTTGACAGGCTGAAGTATTGGACTCAGTCTGATTCAGTGTCATTCAGTTCTGTTTTCTGAGCTCCAGTCATGAGTCACCTATTGGACATTTCCAACTTGGATTCACATAGGTATCCCAGATTCAACATTTCCAAAACAGAACTCATTCTCTTTACCTAAAAATCATCCATCTTCAAAACTTCCTTATTTTTGTCAGGGGCTCCAACCATCTTTCTAATCACTCAGGGTAACCATTTCAGAATCATTTTACTCATTACTCTCCTTCATCTCACTATTCATTAAAGTTACCAATCTTGTTGATTCTACCTTCAAGATGCTTCTCATGTCTATATTCTTTTCTCTACTAAGATGACCACTGTCCTAGCTCAGGCCTTATCACCTGCCACGTGGACTACTACATATCTCCTAATTGGTTTTCTTGCTTGAGGTCCCTCTCTTACCTAATTCATTTTACACATAGCTGATATTCTTGAAATACAGATCTGATAGAGTGCCTTACTCAGTAAACTACAGTGGTTCCTATTACCTTTGGGGTCAAATATAGATTCCTCTGTTTGTCCTTTAAGGCTTTTCACAACTTGGCACAAACCCACCTTTTCAGCCTTATTATATGTTACTCCATTTCATACATTCTTCAATTAAGTGAAATTGGTCTTCTAGCTATTTACTCTCCTGACTTTGTGCCTTTGCACAGGCTGTCTCCCATGCCAGGTTATGACACTGTGCCTCACTGAGGCCTTGTCCAATTCCTCACTTCCTCCTAAGCTGTATTCAAGTGCCCCTTCTCCTGATTCCCCCAGCTGTTAGTGCCTTCCCTCAAATGACTTTGTATTTATTTTGTGTATGCTTTTAAATATGTACATACTGGCTTCCCTTTCCCCAGTAGGATGTAAATTCAATGAGGGTAGGGACTGTGTGCTTTTGGTTTTTGTATCCCCAGTGCCTGGTGCATAGAGAGTATAAACAAATGTTTATTGATTGATTGACAATGAAATTCAGTGGGGATCCATGTAAAGTTTTTTTTTTTTAAAGGACAAGATGGGGGAGATAGGATCAGGCAGAAGTTTATCTGAAAATGACACAGGGGATTGAGTGTGTTTTCCTTGTGCTCTTCTTGTTAACAGTGTGGCCAAAACAGCCCATACAATATTGGTATGCACTCAGTGACTCAGGCCTCTTGGCTGCCCCTGTACTCTGTCCTTATCATATCTCCTCTGGAATTTTGTGTATAATCTTGGTTTCCAGAGTTTAGGAAGGACATTGATAATTCGGAGAGCATCTGTAGGGCAACAGGATGATGAAAGGCCTTGAGTCCATGCTGTAGAAGGAATGGTTGAAGGAACTGGAATTGTTTAGCCTGGAGAAGTGAACACTTGGGTGGGGCTGGGATATAAAATAGGTATCTTCATATGAAGAATTTTTATGTGCAAGAGGAGTAGACTAGTTCTGTTTGACTGAAAAGGGCAGATCCAGGAGCTGTGGGTGGAATATCAGAGGATCATGGCTGTTAGATGATAAATCTAGATCTAGAATCTACCTCAGAGGCCATTTAGCCCAACCCTTTCATTTTACGGTTGAGAAGACTGAAGCCCAGGGACATTAAGTGATTTGTCCAAGGTCACACACATAGGAAGCAGGATTTCAACTCATATCCCCTGACTTACTTGATGTCAGGAAGAATTTTCTAATCATAAGAGCTATCCAAAAGTGAAATGGACTGCTCAGAGAGGTAGTAAGTTACCTCTCATTGGAGGTCTTCCAAACCAGCCTGGATGATTATTTATTGGGTATTGTTATAGTGGGAATTTCTCTTTCCTAGCTGAATTATAGCAAGTGAATTCCTTTCACCCCTCATTGTACCCTAATCAGCACCTAGGTTATACCAGTTACCTTGAAATTTGGGTGATAAGCATCGAGGCAGGGGTTCTTAATCTATAGGTCTGTAAACTTGTTTTTAAAAATATTTTGATAACTGTATTTCAATATAATTAGTTTCTTTTATGATCCTATATATTTTATTTCAAGCATCCAAAAACACTCTCAGAAGGAGTCTATGGGCTTTGCTGTGCCAAATGGGTGCATGATATAAAAAAGGTGAAGAAACCTGCCTTAAAGAGACTGTTAACAGCACTGGGGGAGAGGAGCAGTTGGCAACCATTGACCTACCTTCCTGCTGCCTCCATTAAAGGGCCCTGTCTTTCTCACACAAATATAGTTGTGTGTTGACTGTAGCCATGAACTTTTTTTGTTTATGTTTTGGACAGGATGATCAAAGAGCTTCAGGTCCAATTGGAAGGTGAACGATTACGTAGAGAGAAACTAGAGTGTCAGCTGGATGAAATCCGAGCAGAGGCCAGTCACTGTCGAACCCCTATGGATCAAATTCACCTCAACAATGTTGTTTCTATGGTGAGCTCATTTTGAACTAATTTACATTTCCCATATCACATCAGGTAAAAATCACTGTCATGAAACGATAATAAGGCTTTGTGGTTTGTTTGTTTTTTAAATATTTCTTCCAATTACATATTAAAATAATTTTTAGCATTTGTTTTTTAAAATTTTTGAGTTCCAAATTCTCTCTATCCCTTGCTTCCTCCCCTGCCTCTTCCTTGAGAAGGCAAGCAATTTGATATAGATTATAAATATGCAGTCATGCAAAACATATTTCCATGTTAGCCTTGTTGTGAAAGAAAACAGAACAAACAAACAAACAAAAAGAAGCCCAAGAAAAATAAAGAAAGTTAAAAAAAAATATGCTTTGATCTTCATTCAGACTCCATTGGTTCTTTCATTTTTCATCACAAATCCTTTGGAATTGTCTTGGGTCATTGTAAAGCTGAGAAACTAAGTCATTCACAGTTGTTCATCTTACAGTATTGCTGTTACTGTGTCCATTGTTCTCCTGATTCTGGTTACTTTACTTTGCATCAGTTCATGTAAGCCTTTCCAGGTTTTTCTGAAAGCATCCTGCTTGTCATTTCTTGTAGGACAATAGTATTCCATCACAATCATATATGACTACTTCTTTAGCTATTCCCCAATTGATGGGCATCCACTCAATTTCTAATTCTTTGCCACTACAAAAAGAGCTGCTATAAATATTTTTGTACAAATAGGTCTTTTCCCTTTTTTTTTTTTTTTAATCTATTTGGGATACAGATCTAGTAGTAGTATTACTGGATCAAAGAGTGTGCACAGTTTGATAGCCCTTTGGGCATAGTTCCAAATAGCTCTCCAGAATAATTGGATCAGTTCACAACTCCACCAGCAGTGCAATAGTGTCCCAATTTTTCCACATCCCCTCCAACATTTGTCATTTTCCTTTTCTGTTATGTTAGGCAGTCTGATAGGTATGGGGTGGTACTTTGGAGATGTTTTAATGTACATTTCTCTAATCAGTAGTGATTTAGAGCATTTTATCATATTACTGTAGATAACTTTGATTTCCTCTTTTGAAAACTGCCTGTTCATATCCTTTGTCCATTTATCAATTGGGGAATGATTTGTATTTTTATAAATTTGACGCGGTTCTCTATATATTTGAGAAATGAGGCCTTTATCAGAGAAACTTGCTGTAAATTTGTTTGCTATTTTCTGCTTTCCTTCTAATATTGACTGCATTGGTTTTGTATGTACAAAAACCTTCTAATTTAATACAATCAAAATTATCCATTTTATATCTCATAATGCTCTCTTATACCTTGTTTGGTTATAAATTCTTTCCTTATTCATACATTTGACAGGTAAACTATTTCATGCTTCTTTAATTTGCTTATGGTATCACCCTTTATATTTAAATCATATGCCCATTTTGATTTTATCTCAGTATATGTTGTGAGATGTTGGTCTGTATCTAGTTTCTACAAAACTGCTTTCCAGTTTTCCCAGCAATTTTTGTTTTATAATGAGTTCTTACCCCCAAAGCTTTGCATTTATCAAACACTAGATTACTATGGTCATTTGCTACTGGGTATTGTGTACCTAATCTGTTACACTGATCTACCACTGTATTTTTAGCCAGCACCAAATTGTTTGGATGATTACCACTTTGTAATTCAGTTTGAGATCTGGTACTGCTACACCAAGCAGCTAGGAGGCTCAGTGGATAAGAGTGTTGAAGACTCCTCTTTGTGAGTTCAAATCTAGCCTTAGATACTTACTATCCATGTGAACCTGGGCAAGTCAGGTTCCTATTCGCCTCCGTTTCCTCATCTGTAAAATAGCTGGAGAAGAAAATGGCAAACCACTCCAATATCTTTCCCAAGAAAACCCCAAATGGGGTCACAAAGAGTCTGACACAACTGAACGACAACACTACTAGGTCACCTTCCTTCATATGTTTTTTCATTGATTCCCTTGATGTTCTTGACCTTTTGTTCTTTCAGATGAATTTTGGTGTTTTTTTTTCTATAATTTTTGGTAGTTTGGTATGGCACTGAATAAGTACATTAACTTAGGTAGAATTGTCATTTTTATTATATTGGCTTGCCCTCCCCATGAGCAATTAATATTTCCCCATTTGTTTAGATCTGATTTTATTTGTGTGAAAAATGTTTGGTAATGGTGTTCATATAGTTTACAGATTTGTCTTGGCTGGTAGAGTCCCAAGTAATTTATACTGTCTACAGTTATTTCAGATGGAATTTTCTCTTTCTGTCTCTTGCTGCTGGGCTTTGTTGGTAATATATAGAAGTGCTGATGATTTGTATGGGTTTATTTTATATCCTTCAACTCTCCTAAAGTTGTTAATTATTTCAAATAGTTTTTCAGTTGATTCTCTAGGATTCTCTAAATATACCATCAAGAGTGATAGTTTTGTTTCTTCATTGCCCATTTTAATTCCTTTAATTTCTTTTTCTTCTGTTATTGCTATAGCTAGCATTTCTAGTACAATATTGAACAATAGTGATGATGATGGGCATCCTTGCTTCACCCCAGTCTTATTGAGAAAGCACCTAGCTTATCCCCATTACAGATAATGCTTGCTGATTGTTTTATTTTTTAATTAATTTTTAGTATTTTATTTTTCTCCAGTTAAATGTAAAAACAATTTTTAACATTTATTTTTAAAGTGTTGATTTCCAAATTCTCTCCCTTCCTCCCTCCCTATCCCCCTTGCCCCCACATTGAGAAAGCAAGCAATTTAATAGGTTATACATGTGTAGTCATGTAAAACATATCCATAAGTCATGTTGTAAAAGAAAACATAGGAAAAAAACTCAAGAAAAATAAAGAAAGTAAAAAAAAAGTATGCTTCAATCTGTACTCAGACACCATCAGTTCTTTCTCTGGGGATGGATACCGTTTTTCAGCATAAGTCCTTCAGAGTTGTCTTGGATCGTTGTATTGCTGAGAACTCTTTAAGTCATTCAAAGCTGATCATCTTACAATATTGCTGTTACATTGTACATGGTACGTTTCACTTTGCATCAGCCCAAGCAAGTCTTTCCAGGTTTTTCTGAGAGCATCTTGCTCACCATTTCTTACAGTACAATAGTATTCCATCATAATCACATACCACAACTTGTTCAACCATTCCCCAAATGATGGGCATCCCTTCAGTTTCTAATTCTTTGTCCCCAGAAAAGAGCTGCTATAAATATTTTTGTGCATATAGATCTTTTTTCCTTTTTTTTAAATCTCTTTTGGGATACAGACCTAATAGTGGTATTGCTAGGTCAAAGGGTGTTGCATAGTTTTATAGCCTGTTGGGGGCAGTTCCAAATTGCTCTACAGAATGGTTAAATCAGTTCACAACTCCAATAGTGCATTAATGTCTCATTTTTCCCACATTCCCTCCAATATTTGTCATGTACCTTTTCTGTCCTATTAGCCAATCTAATAGGTATGAGGTAGTACTTCAGAATTGTTTTAATTTGCATTTCTGCAATCAATAATGAGAGTATTTTTTCATATGGCTATAGATACCTTTAATTACTTCATCTGAAAACTGATCATATCTTTTGATCATTTATCTATTGGGGAATAGCTCTTATTCTTATAAATTTGACTCATTTCTCTGTGTGTTTGAGAAATGAGGCCTTTATAAAAGAAACTTGCTTCACATTTTTTTTCACAGTTACTATTGATAACTGTATTTCCTTCCATCCTGTTCCTCCCTTCCCGTTTATTCTTTTCTCTCTCTCCTTTCACCCTATCCCTCCTCAAAATTGTTTTGCTTCTGACTACCCCTCCCCTCCCCCTCCCCTAATCTACCCTCTCTTCTATCACCCCCCCCATTTCCTTCCCCTCCTATTTTCCTGTAGGAGAAGATAGATTTCTATACCAAATTAAGTGTGTATGTTATTCCTTTTTTGAAACAGTTTTGATGGGAGTAAGGTTCACTCACTCCCCCTCACCTCCCCCTCTTCCCTTCCACTGTACAAGCTTTTTCTTGCCTCTTTTATGTGAGATAATTTTACCCCTTCTACCCCCCCCTTTCTCTTTCTCCCAGTACGTTCCTCTCTCACACCCTTTAATTTCATTTTTTTAGATATCATCCCTTCATATTCAACTCACACCTGTGTCCTCTGTCTACATATACTCCTTCTAACTACCCTAATAATAAGAAAGGTCTTATGAGTTCCAAATATCTTCTTCCAATGTAGAAATGTCAACAGTTTAAACTTAATAAGTCCCTTATGACTCCTCTTTCCTGTTTACTTTTCTATGCTTCTTTTGAGTCTTGCATTTGAAAGTCAAATTTTCTGTTTAGCTCTGGTCTTTTCATCAAGAATGCTTGAAAGTCCTGTATCTCATTGAATGTCCATTTTTTTCCCCTGAAGGATTATACTCAGTTTTGCTGGTTAGATGATTCTTGGTTGTAATCCTAGCGCCTTTGGCCTTTAGAATATCATATTCCAAGCCCTCTGATTCTTCACTGTAGAAATTGCTAAATCTTGTGTTATCCTGACTGTGGCTCCACCATACTTGAATTACAATATTTTGTCCTTGACCTAGGAACTCTGGAATTTGGCTATAATATTCTAGGCAGTTTTCATTTTGAGATCTCTTTTAGGAGGTGATCGGTAGATTCTTTCAATTTCTATTTTACCCTCTGGTTGTAGAATAGCAGGGCAGTTTTCCTTGATAATGACGACTTCTTCTTCTTCTTCCTTTTCTTCCTCTTCTTCTTCCTCTTTTAAGTGACTTGCCCAGGGTCACACAGCTAGTAAGTGTCACTTGTCTGACACTTGTCTAAGGCCAGATTTGAACTTGGGTCCTCCTGACTCCCGGGCCAGTGCTCTGTCCACTTTGCCACCTACCTGTCCCATTAAATTGATAATTTCTTGAAAGATGATGTTGAGGCTCCTTTTTTGATCATGGTTTTCAGGCAGTCCAATAATTTTAAAATTATCTCTCCTGGATCTATTTTCCAGGTCAGTTGTTTTTCCAATGAGATATTTCACATTGTCTTCTATTTTTTCATTCTTTTGGTTTTGTTTTATAATTTCTTGATTTTTTATAAAGTCATTAGCTTCCACTTGCTCCATTCTAATTTTTAAGGACTTATTTTCTTCAGTGAGCCTTTGGACCTCCTTTTCCATTTGACCAATACTGCTTTTTAATGCATTCTTCTCGTTGACTTTTTGGACCTCTTTTATCATTTGGCCTAATCTGTTTTTTAAGGTGTTATTTTCTTCAGTATTTTTTTGTGTCTTCTTTACCAAGCTGTTGACTTGTTTCTCATGATTTTCTTGCATCGCTCTCATTTCTCTTCCTAATTTTTCCTCTACCTCTCTTACTTGATTTTCAAAATCCTTTTTAAGTTCTTCCATGGCCTGAGACCAATTCATATTTTTTTTGGAGGCTTGTATGTAGCAGCTTTGAATTTGTTGTCTTCTTCTGAGAGTATTTTGATCTTCCTTGTCACCACAGTAACTTTCTATAGTCAGAATTTTTCCCCACTATCTGCACATTTTCCTAGCCTATCACTTGATTTTTTTGGGGGGGGAGGGCATCGCTAAGCAATGAGGTTAAGTGACTTGCCCTGGGACACACAGCTAGTAAGTGTCAAGTGCCTGAGGCCACATTTGAACTCAGGTCCTCCTTACTCAAAGTCCAGTGCTCTATCCACTATACCACCTAGCTGCCCCCATTACTTGATTTTTAACTGTTTATAGGGCTCTGCCTCCAGCGTGGAGGGTGCACTGTCCTAAGCTTCAGGGGTTTTGTGTGGCTTTTTTCATAACTACTTCTAGGGACCTCTAAGCTTTTAGTTCTTCCAAGGTGGTATGGTCTAAGGATAGGTGTTTGCTCCTCTCCTAGCCTGAAATGCTCTGGTCTGTGAGTGGCCACAAACACTCTTTTCTGCCCTAGAACTGTGACAAGGCTCCCCCCTCCACTGTGGCTGCAAGCTCTGCTATGCTAGTGCTCTTCCTCACCCTGGGACTGCCACCCAGGACTGCGACTCATATCTGAGTAATGGCAAAGCAAGAGAGTCCTGTCTCAGTGATGACAAAGAGACCCCTGTAATCTCCTCCTGACCAGTTGTTCGACCCCTTTACCATCTCTGGGCTGAGAGCTCCGGAAGCAGCCGTTGCCACCGCTGCTGATTCAGTCACTCCCAAGGCCTGCTCCTAGTTTGCTGGGGCCATGATGTACTGGTGCAGCCTATGCTGGACTGTGCTGCACTCTCACCCAAGTGTGACATACCTTTTCTACTGATCTTCCAGGTTGCCTTTGGTGTCTATGGGCTGAGAGCTCTAGAAACTGCCACTGCTGCCAGTGATTCAGTTGCCCTGGAGACCACTTCCAGGTTTGCTGGGGCCTGGTCTGTGCTGGTGCAGCCTAAGCTGGACTGCACTTCTCTTTCATGCTGGTGCAACAGATCTTTCCTGCTGACCTTCCATGTTGTCTGGGGCTGGAAGTTTGTTTCACTCACTCTTTTTGTGGGTTCTGCTGCTCTAGAATTTGTTTAGAGCCATTTTCAAAAGGTATTAGGAGAGCTCAGGCTGGTACCTGTCTTTATTCTGCCATCTTGGCTCCGTCCCCATAGTCATCTTAAACACAACATATTCAAAACAACTCAATATCTTTTCCCTCAGATCCCCTTCCCATTCAGAACTTTCCTACCACTATTCCCTGTTACACCATCATCTTTCCTAGTCTCAAAAAGAGGCAAAAATTGGCTTGATGTCAGGAAGAGTGTTCTAATAATTCAGGCTATCCAAAAATAAAATGTGCTGTCTCATGAGCTGGTGAGGTTCCCCTTTTTAGAGGTCTTCAAGAAGAGACTGAATGGCCCCTCATTGGGTATGGGTTGGATTCAATGTCTGCCTGAGGTTACTTTCAATTCTCAAATTCTTTGAATTTGATGATTTGCTTTGATGTTTGATGTTTAATGGTAAGCTTCTTGATGGCAGAGACCAATGACTTTTTTGTCTTTATATCTTTCACAATGTAGTAGGTACTTATTAAATATTTTGTTAAATAAATATTACATGCTAACAGAATATATAGTTTAATATATAGTTTAAGTTTAATATATTATTGTTTATATTTATATATTTTATATTAAATATAGTTTAACATATAGTTTAATATGTATTTTAATACTTAAAATTGGTATTTTATTTTGGTTTGCACAGTAATTGAACATTTATTTAGAGGCAAGTAGGTGGTACAATGGAAAAAGTGCTGTATTTAGAGTCAGGAAGACCCAAATCAAAATTCCACCTTAGACACTTACTAGCTGTGTGACTCTCGGCAAGTCACTTAACTTCTTTTTGTCTCATTTTCCTCACCTGTAAAATGGGTATCATAATAGCACCTACTTCCCAGGGTTGTTGTGAAGATTAAATGAGATAATAATTGTAAAGCACTTAGCATAGTGCCTGGTGCATAGGAAGTGCTATATAAATGATATTATTATTATTAAATAAAGATCCTATAAATATTAGATGTTTCTTTTCCTTTTGGTACAGAAAGAATACTTCCTTTGGGGGAAAAGGTGGGAGAGGGAAAGTCTATGCTAAAGTAGGTACTTTATTTAAAATCTTTTCCATTGTTCATAGGAGGATGACTCTTCTGACTCAAACAAAGATAAGAGAAAAGTGAAAAAAAAGATCACATCCTCTGGAGGGATATTTATGAGAAGGTCATAATCAGTGAGTGACACCACTTTCAATGAAGAGACCTGTTTGAATTTTCCCTTTCATGTTTATATTGACATATCTCCCATTGCTCAGTATTCCTCCATAGGGCAGAGATCTGTGTTGTTACTTGATTGCGGAAAGCAAAAATTTAAATGAACTATTGGAAAGAATTTAAAGTATTAGATTAATATAGTGTCATTCCTTCCCTCCACACCCCCATATACTTTTCAGGTATCTTCTTAGGCAATGTCAAAGATTCAGAAACAGATTTGCATATGTTAATAAAATTGGTTTTATAAAGATGTAAATTAAAACTAGTTTTTGTGATTGTTTCTTTTTTAAACAGAATTATTATAACCTTGCAATAGACACTTCTCTTTTTAAAAGAAAGCTTTCTTTAATGAATTTTACTATGTAGATAATTTCATTAACAATGCTGTTATTTATTATAATAACTCAAATTTATAAACTTTAGCTCTGGGAGTGATTAAATCCAGAAATGAAGACTTGAGATATGATTTAAGGCAGTGTCTCTGGACTCCAAATCAAGTGCTCTCTCCACTTTGCCAGGCTGCTTCTTATATGCTATTGATGCCAGTGGCTCACCATTCAGAGGACATCTGCCCTTTACATTTTTAAAAAATAACTTTTATTTTTCTTATTTTAATAAAATAAGAATCTACTAAAACTGGGACTAAGGTGCCAAATGGAGAGCATTTTTACTTTGGAGATGAGTGCAATTTTACACAAACAACCAGCTGTCATATTTCATGAAATTAATGTTAACTTTCCAGGAAATTTAACAAGTAATAATATCTTCTAAAACAAAAAAATGCTGAGAGAATTAAAATAATCTATTTTAGAATCATTAGCTTTTGTATTTTCTTACAATATTTGTGTTTTCTTCTCTTTCTTTGAGTTTCAAAATAAGTTTCCACTTCATGGAACAAGAACCTTTGAAATTTCCATTTGGAAAATTTTTTTAAAGTAAAGGAATTTTGGTTTCTTACTTGCCACAACTTGTTTTACTTGGTGCAGTGGAAAGAACACTGCCCTGGGAATCACCAGGATCTGTGTTGAAGTTAGCTCGGCCACATACTACTTACCTTACTATAGGCAAGTCATCTAACCTTGGTTGAGCCTTTATTGTCTTACTTGTAAAATAATGTTATTGGAACTAAGTACCTCAAGGGGTTGTTGTAGAAGAAAACATTTACTAAATGTTTATTTAATTGAACTGAACATTACAGGAGCTGGTTACTTTTAAAGGAAAATTAGAGTAAATGGGATAATTGCATGAATGATGAACATTGTTTATAACCTACTAATGATGTTGTTGTGATACAGTACTAGTCAGGGCAGCTTTATGTCTGTGACATCTCCGTGATGATAGATTTTTTTTATGACTCATTCACACACTCACCTGGTCCCCCTTGCAGTCTCACTAGATTTGCAAAGTGGTTGGCCAGAATTAGGGATTTAGTGTGTGGCGTTGGAACAAAAGGAAGGTAAACCAGTCTATCAACAAGCATTTATTAAAGACTTATTATGTGCTAAGGCATTACGGTGGGCTTTCAGGATACACAAAGACAAAAATTAAATGGGCCTTGCCCTCAAGGAGTTTACATTCTATCAAGCATAGTTGGCTCTGATGGAGGCTTCACATACTGTTCTAACCAAACTGAGCTAGCCAGCCACAGACAATTCTACTAATAATTAAGATGAGTTTCAGGAGCCTATAATAAATTTTTTTCTACTCCAAGAAAAATCATCCTTAAGGAAGTAGTTGGACTTAAGAATTTCTAAGGTATGTATATAAACACACACACATATATACATATATACACATACATATATGTATATATATTACATGTGTATGTTTATATATAATATACACATATATACATATATATATATATATATAGAGAGAGAGAGAGAGAGAGAGAGAGGGAGAGTATATGTGTAACAGATAGATTTCAGTTGAATCTTGAAGGAGGTCTGGGGGCATTGGAGATAGCTTGTGAAAAGGCATGGAGTTGGGAGATGTGGAGTGTCTTGTGTGAGGAATAGCAAGGAGACCAATGTCACTGGATTCTAGATTATGTGGAGGGGAGTAAATTGTGAGAAGAATGGAAAAGGTTGTGAAGGGCTTTAAATACTAAACATTTGGGAAGTTTGAAAGAGGGGAAGGTTTTGGGGAAAAGATGATGAGTTCTGTTTTTAGCACATTTGAGTTTGAAATACCTGTAGCATATCCAGGTCAATATGCAGTTGAAAGTGTGAAACTGGAGCTCAGGAGAGACACCAGATACAGAATCATCTGTGTAAAAATGATCATTGAAACAGTGGGAGTTGTTGAAACTCCTCAGTTTCTGCTGCAGATCTTCATCTAGGCCAGGCCTCTTCATCCTTAGATTATTTTAATAGTCTTCTGGTTGGTCTCCCTGCCTCAAGTTTCTGCCTACCCTAGCCCATTCTCCACTCAGCTGTTAATATTTCTAAAGCACAGGTCTGACCATGTCATCCCCTTACTCAATAAATTTCAGTGACTCCCTATTACCTCCAGTATCAAATATAAAATCCTTTGGCATTCAAAGCCCTTGATAGCCTATACTTTCCATTCTCGTACTTTATTCCCGTCCTTATGTTCCAAGATCTAGTGACATTGGCTTTCTTAAAAGCACACAAGAAACTGCATTTCCCGCCTCCACACCTTTTCATTGGCTGTCGTGTCTCATGCCTAGAATGTTCCCCTTCCATATTTCTGCTTCCTTTAAGACTTAGCTCAGACACTCTCTTCTGAAAAGGGATTTTCCTGGTTCTCATCCCACCCTACCCCCAAATTTCCATATATCAATATCTACTTTTGTGTGTGCATAATTGTTTGCATAGTGTCTCCCCCGTTAGAATGTGAACTCCTTGAGGGCAGGGTCTATTTTCTGCCTTTCTATCCCAAGTACTTAGCACAGTGCCTGGCACATGGTAAGCAATTAATAAAGGTTTGTTGACTTCTTGAATGATAAAGTCAAAAAGCCAGCTTGCAAGGGATTTGGAAGAGAGTGAAAAGAAGAGTGGAGAAACTGAATACAGTTAGCTTTCTCAGAGAGTTTAACAGAGAAAGGGAGAAAAGATTTAAGGCTGTAGCTGGCAGGAATAGTTAGATCAAGTGAGGGTTTTGTTTTTAAGGATAGAGGAGAATTGGATGTGTTTATAGGAGGCAGGTTAGGATTCAGTAGAAAGGAGAGCTTAAAGATTACTAAGAGTTGGGATGATAGAAAAGGGGTAGTCTACTGGAGAAAATGGGATGGGAGTGGCATCAAGGGTTCATGTAGAAGGGTTTGCTTTGGGAAGAAGGACCACCTCTTCATAAGAGATGGGTGAGGGAGGAAATGTTGGAGGAAGATACCTGAATGAGATGGAATGAAGAGATGAGGAGAAAAAGGATCTCTTCACAAACAGCCTCAATCTTTTCACTGAATTATGAGTTGAGGTCTTCAGATGAGAGGGTTGGGGAGTGGCTCCTGTGGGTAGCTTGAGAAGAGAGAATGTTTGGAAGAGATATTTCCAATGGAATAACAAATTGATTAGGGAGGTATAAAAGTATTGCCTTGGGGCAGTGAGGGATAAATTGAGAATATGTAATAAAATACAATTTAACTTTATTTTTTTTAAATACCAGAGCAAAAAATTAGCATGTCTTGTTCATCTTATTTTGCCAGCAACATAACTCTGCAGCTGTTATTCAGTAGCAAATAGGTTCTCTTACCAGATTTGCCTGTGGAGCATTAGGTTGGGCTTGCTTTCACACCTTGATGTCCTGACATCCCCTACATCCTACTTCCTTTATGGATTTTGCTTTCAATGTGTAAGGGGGACAGGCACTTGATAACTGCTAAGTGGTTTTTTTAATGTGGGTTGTGGATAGAGACCAGCCATTCCCCTAGAGCAGTTCCTGTTGCCTGAGGGCTCCCCAGGATTTGCAGCATATAGATGCTGCTGCCTGAGTGCTCCAGTCAGCCTTGCTTCTTGTCATTCAGAGAGGGAGGGAACCACAGAGGTTAGCACTCTCTTCAGCTTTACAACCATCCCACATTATCACTCATGTTGATTGAAGATGTCTGAAAGCAGCAGCCATGCTTTGTTCTTAGTTTCCATTTGGCTGTATTCTAATGACCAAGAGCCTTTACTGGTCTCTGCTTGTGTTGATTATAGTAGCTTTGCTGGTGACCCAGAGTCTCCTTTGACCTACCCTACTGTCTTCTACACTACTGAAGTCTATCTAGCATTGGTTCTTTCTGGGCTTCCTTATTGCACTTCCTTTCATGCTTCCTGAGACCTATAGCTCATCTTTTTCCTCTCTGTCATGGGCAGTCTCACCGTTGGGCTCCCTTCCCCATGTCAGGCCTGTAGGCAATAGCACCAGCTACTCTTATAATTCCTTCAGCTTTTTGCTACACACTTCACTTTTCCATATGAAGACCATCTAGGTTTATTTTGGCTGCTCGTGATTACTAGGTGACGTCACTTCCATAATTAGAATATTGTGGAATTATATCTTTAGAGCTAGAAGGGACCTCAGAGGTCAGTAAGTGCAAACCCATCATTTTCAGATGACGAATGAAGAGACAGAGAGGTTGTGACTTGTCCAGAGTCACAAAGCCTTTAAATGCATTAGGCAAGATTTGAACTCAGATCTTCCAAACTCTGGGAAGCTAGGTGGCACAGTGGAAAAAGTACTGGGCCTGCAGTCAGGAAGATTCATTTTCCTGAGTTCAAATCTGGTCTCAGACACTTACTAGCTGTGTGACCCTGGGCAAGTCATTTAACCCTGTTTGCCTTAGTTTCCTCATCTATAAAATGAGCTGGAGAAGGAAATGGCAAACTACTCCTGCATCTTTACCAAGAAAACCCCAAATGGGGTCATGAAGAGCTGGATATGACTGAAACAACTGAACAACTTCCTCACTCAAAATCCTGAATCCTATCCACTAAGCTATTATTATTTCTTTAAAAAATTTTTATTACTATCTTTTGTTTACATACCACCTTAATTTCCTAGGATATCCCTCTCATTTACCATAGAGAGCAAACCCTTATAACAGAGAATTAAGGTGAAATTTTAAAAGTTCTGAAATACTAACCAGCCCATTAACTAAGTCTGACCATATTCAGCATCCATAGTTTCCACCTCTGCAAAGACAAATGGAAAGTGGGGCAGGTAGGTGGCACAGTGGATAGAGCCTTGGAGTCAGGAGGTCCTGAGTTCAAATGTGACATCAGACA